GTATACATGTACCAATACATATATACATAAACCTATATAGAGTATACATGTACCAATACATATATACATAAACCTATATAGAGTATACATGTACCAATACATATATACATAAACCTATATAGGTTATACATGTACCAATACATATATACATAAACCTATATAGGGTATACATGTACCAATACATATATAGATAAACCTTTATAGGGTATATATGTACCTATACTAACAATTTTTAAAAATACAAATAACGTTTTACAGACTGTTTATATACAGGAAGAGGCAAGTAAAATACTGCCATCTACAAAACGGCCAGATACATCAATACATGTACCCGGGTATAGTTATTTAATTTTGTGGTACATTACTGTCATCTATGACCAACAGCCAGGCATTATATTTTATTATAGGAACTATATAGTTGCTAGGCCAATATTTCCCGGCTGTCTCGATCAGAACTAGTTCACTGGGATTAAATTTAACACAACATGGCTAGTTAAATATATCATGTTCATGAGGCTGTGGACTTAAGTATTTGGGTGTTTTGTAAAAATGACATGTGATGTTGAAGTTTTATCTTCATTATTCGGCAGTTAACAGTAAACAATTGTTTTTATATTTTGTATCAGTAAATATATGTGCAAACAGATAATAATTCAATGAATCATGGTATTAATAATCTCTGGGTATCTAATTTTGCCTTATCTTTGGTGACAGCAAAATGACAAAGTTAATTCCCCTGCAAAATATTACCAAGTATACATTCCTTACCAATATTAGTAGCTTACCCGTACCCATATATACCCATAAGGTTGCTAAACCTCTCTGATGACTCTCAACAGAAGGCAGTTAAATGTTTAAATGAACCGTTCTGGTCTATAAACAGGTTGGGTTCCCTCTGGCCGTCATAAAGAACTTGTTACAACATCACTTATATATAAACATGTACATAATACTGTTCATATGTAGAGCATTTTGTAATTTCTGCTGTCAGCTGGGTCACAATTTCTTTTGTGATTTCAACACAACAGGAAAATAGCTGTTTTAATCATGAAACCACTAACTCAGCATTGTGCATTATTTAGATATATTAAGCACAAATATGCTAAAAGGACAAAGTGAGATCAAAGTGGATAGAGAACCTATCCTTGCCTCCCTTCCAATTTGAATTACCTCCTGTTTATGAATCCATAGACTCTGGAATCCATAGACAGGTAATTATTTAACAAAACCAATTTTATATCTCCCTCCGTCTCCCTAGGATCAGTCTGTTTTTGATCCAGAAAACACTAATAGGAAAAGCTGTGTCGAATTATCCGTTGTCTCTGGTAAGACCTATCTGTATAGTTTGTTCATCCCGCAGACTGCCCTATGTCGGACATGCGAAATCATAGCCGTACAGAGGATAGCGCTTTAAGGCTGCCATGGCCTCTGGTGTCCGCGGAAGGAATATATACAGTACCACGGATCTGTGATGTAATTACAGTTCAGTAAACTACTATAATAGCGACTGCTCTATCATGATGCTATCAAAGCCGTCTGGTGGTTGGTGGTAAAATTTGTCAAACTGGACATCCATTACAGCACCTTCATCCACTGTGAAGAAAAGAAAACCGTAGTCACATTAACATCTGACACCAGGCTTTTCTAACATCGAGATAAAAAATATAAACCAGTTAATAACAGCCAGACCAAAATGATAGCCTAAAACCTACTGCACCTAAAACATCATCTCATGTAAAAAGAATGTTAAGCAAAGCAAGTGCAGTTTGTTAAAGAGTGAAAACATTTCACTGCCACTCATCTGTAATGGTGCTCAGTTAAACCTGATAATATTATATAAGTATAGTATGCAGGCAAAACAATAACAGATATTATTATTGTTATTGATTTTTTAAATGCTCTGATTTTAATTGTTTTTCAAAAATAAATAGTTATATAATATATATTCAAATTAATTACAACATCTCTGTTTCAGAAAATATCTTTTGAAGAATACTGTCCAAGATTAATGCCACAAAAATGCTGCCAAATGAACTTAGAATATGATATGTACCATAGAATACCGGGAACACTGTTCCTTTGATCCCCATCAGGGGGTTGTTTAGGGGTTTACCGTTCAGGAAGAAATTCAGTTCCACATGATCGTAGGTCAAACCCTGTAAACAGACATAAAATATATTAACAAAATTTGCAATGGTTAATTAGTAATGATATAATAATAATAATACAAGAGGCCCAAGAGGGCCTGTATCGCTCACCTGAATATTTAAGCAGTCATAGCAAAATATTCTCATTAAATATTATATTGCACTAAAAATATTTCCCTCGCAAACTTTGTTGGCTCCATCTGTTGAAACTACCAGCAAAATATTATTATAAGATTCTATGCTTTTTGATTCTTCTTCAGAAGTTGCTTGACATATTTTTCCCTGTGATCTTGTAAGTAGGTCAATGTCATTTTCCTTCTCAAATTGGTTAGCTCTATTCCAAAAAGCTACCAGCCAAATCTTATGAATCCATTCCTTTTAGTTCTCAAGAACAAATCCATTAAAATGTTGTTGACCTCTGTGACCTCTAAAGTAGGTTGAGGTCATTTTCATTTGCAAACTTTGGTGAGCTCTATCCCGGGAAGTCACCAGCCAAATATTATAATTTTATGCCTTTTAATTCTTCAGAAGAAGCTGTTTGAACTGTTTGACATATTTGAACGCTGTGACCTTGAAAGTAGGTCAAGGTCATTTTCATTCGCAAACTTTGTTTGGCTCTTTCCCAGGAAGCCACCTGCCAAATATTAAGATTTTATAACTACCAGTTCTTCAGAAGAAGTCGTTTAAAGTGTTTGACATATCTGCCTCATGTGACCTTAAAAGAAGGTCAAGGTCATTTTCATTCTCAAACTTTGTTCGGCTCTTTCCTAGGAAGCTACAAGCCAAATATAGAGATTATATACCTTTCAGTTCTTCAGAAGAAGTCGTTTGAAGTGTCTGACACATTTGACTCCTGTGACCTTGAAAGAAGGTCAAGGTCATTTTCATTCTCAAACTTTGTCGGGCTCTATCCAAGGAAGCCATCAATCAAAAATAAAGATTCTATACCTTTCAGTTCTTCAGAAGAAGTCATTTGAAGCTTTTGACATATATGACCCCTGTGACCTTGAAAGTAGGTCAAACTAGTTTTCATTCTCAAACTTTGTTGGGCTCTATCCCAGGAAGCCACCAGCCAAATATAAAGATTATATACCTTTCAGTTCTTCAGAAGAAGTCGTTTGAAGTGTTTGACACATTTGACCCCTGTGACCTTGAAAGAAGGTCAAGGTAATTTTCATTCTCAAACTTTGTTGGGCTCCATCCAAGGAAGCCATCAGCCAAATATGAAGATTCTATACCTTTTAATTCTTCAGAAGAAGTCGTTTGAAGTTTTTGACATATTTGACCCCTGTGACCTTGAAAGTAGGTCAAACTAATTTTCATTCTCAAACTTTGTTGGTCTCTATCCCAGGAAGCCACCAGCCAAATATAAAGATTCTATACCTTTCAGTTCTTCAGAAGAAGTCGTTTGAAGTGTTTGACACATTTGACCCCTGTGACCTTGAAAGTAGGTCAAGGTCATTTTCATTCTCAAACTTTGTTGGGCTCTATCCCAGGAAGCCATCAGCCAAATATGAAGATTCTATACCTTTTTGTTCTTTAGAAGAAGTCGTTTGAAGTTTTTGACATATTTGACCCCTGTGACCTTGAAAACAGGTCAAGGTCATTTTCGTTCTCAAACTTTGTAGGGCTCCTACCAACGAAGCTTACAGCCAAATATCATGACTCTAGGCCTGTCCGTTCTTCAGAAGAAGTTGTTTAAAGGAAAAGTTGACGGACGCCGCGCCACGGCATAAGCTCACTTGGCACTTCGTGCCAGGTGAGCTAATAATTTACAACATTTACAGAGCACCCTATATAATTTGTAAACTTACTCTAAAGCGCTTTACAACATATGGATAATAGCATTAGTTATAATTGTGTAACAAAACAGGCTTACACTAACCATTATACATTCAGCAAGAAGATAATCATGATCTCTATGTGCACATAAATGCATAAATAAAGGGTGGTATGTACACGACGTCTGTGAAAAGAGCCTAAAATGCTGACGTGAAGAGGTGAGTTTTAATGTCTTCTCAAAGCACCGGTTTCCATAGGTCACAGTACGAGATTTTGAGACACACAACAATGATTCTGACTCCGACCGTAGTGATTGTAGCTGATACAGGGTAACAATCTCCTGTAGGTACTGGCTATGGGGAGCTGTTCCATTTGTAACGGAGCCGCCTAGTCACTTCACTCAATATTGTCTCTGTTTAGTTCTAGACTAGATCGTTTGCTGGTAGCGCAAAACAACGATCTTACACAAGACTCGCAAAAGCCAGTTCGTAACGCTCGACTTGAACCGGTAGTACTGGTAGCGTACTTTGTAGAACTAACATGAAGTATTAAGTAAACTCAAGTTTTGTGTACCACATAGACTGATTTTATTAAATGACACATATATAGTATGTTATTCTGAATATCTTTCACACGAATCTTTGCATAATCATCAAACAACAAACACACTTATAACCTTATCCTAGGTCTCGACACTGAAGTCTCCGGTAATGTAATTCCCGTAAGTAATCCACGTATAAGTAGAATATAATATATATCTATAAGCTGAAATGGCTGAACTAGCCAATGATGATAATGAGATTAAGCTTTCCTAATGAAAGTGACAAAGTTATGAGACTGAATGAGTTATTATATTTTAGGTTTCAAAGGCCGAAAGAAGTATAAATGATGTCCGAATAAAGAAGTCTAAGTGTATACGTAAAAGTCGATAAATCTCTAAGTCTAAAAGTCTGTAAGTCTAATGAAAATACAAACGCTCGCTCTTTTATACTCACTCTCAGGCACAACAACAAATCAAAACATCGTATGTCGGTCCTAGAATAAACAACCAATCGAATAACTGTAAATAAACATCGCGTTTATTTACCGAACTCAAACATTCATAAACTCCCGCTATTCGATGATAGCAACTCCAAGACCGGAAATACATAACAACTGTCACTCTCTGTACATGCGCACTCTCACAACAATGGCAGCCTCCATCACACTACAGAACACGCACCAAGACTCGTCAATAAGACGGTAACTACAATTATAATACACGCAATTATCAAGGTATATATGAACGATTCAATTAATACATCAACAATACAACTATATATATCCTCCAAGCAACACAGCGCTCTTACTTTGTTCTTAAATAACACTTTACCATTACCACTCAACATTCCTCGTGGTATAACCTAAACACTCGTAAATTTGACATCTCATATTTAACTCAAAGTCTCTCTCTCTCTGCCATTGTCGACGACTCACACTATCAATAATAAATGTAATCATACAAAATATACAAGAATGATTTGTTGTTATTTCATTGAATAAGCATGGTGCCATAGTGGTACATAAATATGTATAACATAAAACATGAGAAAATATGAGGTTCAACTTCGTTACACATTCAGTGCCTTGTATGTGTACACCAAAATTTTGTACTGCGACTTGCATTGTACAGCTAACCAGTGCAATGAATATAGCACAGATGTGATGTGCTATCTCTTTCGAGTACGAGTAACCAGTGGGGTTTCCACAAAGCACGGGTGTTGGCTTAATTATTACAAAAGACACTGAATTAGCATTCATTGTCATTTTTCAAAAACTGCAATTTATGTTGGGTGGGCTTATAACGAGGCTGGGATAAATGTGGTATATATGCCTCTGGCATTATAATGTTGTCCAATGTTGAATTCACTTAAATACATATATAATTATATGATCATCAAAAATCCATAAATAACCACAATACAGTTGTGAACTTCACAATAGGAACAAGAGAGAATGCAATTTAAAGATGACTTGGATAACAAGCTTTCCATTTTTTTGCGATGATTTTATGGAAGCATAGCTGCATAGCCATAAACCTTAATTATTGTCGGCTCTTGTGATTTATCGATTTTCCCAGTATTTTCTTCAGACAGTTTCCAAGCTTTCTGTCAGAATATTCACTATTGTCATCTTAGTAACGAGATCAGAACCAATTCCATATTTATTTTTGTCTCTGTCGCTCGAGGTTGTGACAGACAATCCCAGATTCCTTCAATGAAGCCCAAGAAACTACATACTGAAACCAATCATATCAAAAAAAGCAGACGCTAATTATGGTCATAGATAGAATTTTTATTTTTAAAGTTGCACCGAGGAAATGTGTTCTTTTCCTTTCATATTTTGTAAAGCAATATTTTGACCTTGTTTGGGAATAAAGTATTATATGATGAACTCGTATTTTAAACAAATGCAACAAAAATATTTCCTGTTTTAAACTAAAACATTTTCTTGATCATGAAGCTGTTTAAACTAACAAACATTCACCAAATAGATTGTGAGAGCTATAGGCAGAAAGCATATAGAATATAATTAGTCACAGGCATTGAAGTAACATACATGTACAAACACCGGTATGTATATACATTGAGTGCCCCCCAGTGCCTATGATTGGGGAAAGTCTAATTAAAGCCCAGCATTGTAGACATACAGACCTGCCATTTCTGATATGCTGCCTGTATACAGAAGCCAGTACTGTAGCACTCTAGATGCAGTAATATGGTCCCTCTGCAGATGACTAGATAGTTTGTCAGATATAACAGAGCAGGGCGTTACCATAATCCAACCGAGAGGTAACAAGTGAATGCACCGAAATCTTGTTATAAACTGCCGGATACAGCCGATGTTCCTGATCTGGTAGTGACAGCATTTGGCAAAAGCATTCACTTCTTTCTCCAAGTTGAGTAAACTATCAAAGTATACCCCTAGGTTTTTAACAGCTGGGACAGTCTCAATAGTTCTGGCACCGACCTTGAGCTGGAGAGCCATTGTTTGCTGACACTTTGGGGAAAAGATGACTAGTTCTGTCTTTTCCTGATTAATCTTTAGTATGTTAGCATTCATCCAGGTACTGATGTCTGTCAGACAAGCTTCCAGATGTTCTGATTTTGTATCCCAACTGTCCTGTGGTTTGATGACCATGTAAATTTGTTTGTCATCAGCATGACAATGATAGCGAAGGCTATATATGGCGATGACAAATCTCTCCGATCGGTTTGGAATACAGTCAATATTTCCGTGGTCCTAACACAGACCCAACAGGAGCTCAAAATCAATGTAGCAAACAGATCTAGAGGTGGGATGGAAAAACAAACTAGATTTCTTCTGATCTTGGAATGAGGCGTTATAAAGTCTTACAAGCTATGACATACATTGCTGGTGCTATGATCTGTATTCCATTACCTGTATCATTACCAGTATCATTATCTCCTGTAGCGATCCTGTATCGTTACCTGTATCATTACCTGTATCATTATCTCCTGTAGCGATCCTGTATCGTTACCTGTATCATTACCTGTATCATTTGGGTATGTATACCTGAGAGCTATTGTGTTGTACTTACCAGTATATCTCCTTCCTGTGGTACCTCCGGCAGCTTGCCTTTTTCCTCATTATTGTGATAAAGCACGCCATCATGTCTTATCACCCAGGAGTCTTTGTTGTTACCCAAAGGGACTGTACTCATATCACACAGTTTGGTGGCTAGACCGACACCCCACACACCTGTATAAACACAAACAACAGTGTTACACTAGACCGACACCCCACACACCTGTATAAACACAAACAACAGTGTTACACTAGACCGACACCCCACACACCTGTATAAACACAAACAACAGTGTTACACTAGACCGACACCCCACACACCTGTATAAACACAAACAACAGTGTTACACTAGACCGACACCCCACACACCTGTATAAACACAAACAACAGTGTTACACTAGACCGACACCCCACACACCTGTATAAACACAAACAACAGTGTTACACTAGACCGACACCCCACACACCTGTATAAACACAAACAACAGTGTTACACTAGACCGACACCCCACACACCTGTATAAACACAAACAACAGTGTTACACTAGACCGACACCCCACACACCTGTATAAACACAAACAACAGTGTTACACTAGACCGACACCCCACACACCTGTATAAACACAAACAACAGTGTTACACTAGACCGACACCCCACACACCTGTATAAACACAAACAACAGTGTTACACTAGACCGACACCCCACACACCTGTATAAACACAAACAACAGTGTTACACTAGACCGACACCCCACACACCTGTATAAACACAAACAACAGTGTTACACTAGACCGACACCCCACACACCTGTATAAACACAAACAACAGTGTTACACTAGACCGACACCCCACACACCTGTATAAACACAAACAACAGTGTTACACTAGACCGACACCCCACACACCTGTATAAACACAAACAACAGTGTTACACTAGACCGACACCCCACACACCTGTATAAACACAAACAACAGTGTTACACTAGACCGACACCCCACACACCTGTATAAACACAAACAACAGTGTTACACTAGACCGACACCCCACACACCTGTATAAACACAAACAACAGTGTTACACTAGACCGACACCCCACACACCTGTATAAACACAAACAACAGTGTTACACTAGACCGACACCCCACACACCTGTATAAACACAAACAACAGTGTTACACTAGACCGACACCCCACACACCTGTATAAACACAAACAACAGTGTTACACTAGACCGACACCCCACACACCTGTATAAACACAAACAACAGTGTTACACTAGACCGACACCCCACACACCTGTATAAACACAAACAACAGTGTTACACTAGACCGACACCCCACACACCTGTATAAACACAAACAACAGTGTTACACTAGACCGACACCCCACACACCTGTATAAACACAAACAACAGTGTTACACTAGACCGACACCCCACACACCTGTATAAACACAAACAACAGTGTTACACTAGACCGACACCCCACACACCTGTATAAACACAAACAACAGTGTTACACTAGACCGACACCCCACACACCTGTATAAACACAAACAACAGTGTTACACTAGACCGACACCCCACACACCTGTATAAACACAAACAACAGTGTTACACTAGACCGACACCCCACACACCTGTATAAACACAAACAACAGTGTTACACTAGACCGACACCCCACACACCTGTATAAACACAAACAACAGTGTTACACTAGACCGACACCCCACACACCTGTATAAACACAAACAACAGTGTTACACTAGACCGACACCCCACACACCTGTATAAACACAAACAACAGTGTTACACTAGACCGACACCCCACACACCTGTATAAACACAAACAACAGTGTTACACTAGACCGACACCCCACACACCTGTATAAACACAAACAACAGTGTTACACTAGACCGACACCCCACACACCTGTATAAACACAAACAACAGTGTTACACTAGACCGACACCCCACACACCTGTATAAACACAAACAACAGTGTTACACTAGACCGACACCCCACACACCTGTATAAACACAAACAACAGTGTTACACTAGACCGACACCCCACACACCTGTATAAACACAAACAACAGTGTTACACTAGACCGACACCCCACACACCTGTATAAACACAAACAACAGTGTTACACTAGACCGACACCCCACACACCTGTATAAACACAAACAACAGTGTTACACTAGACCGACACCCCACACACCTGTATAAACACAAACAACAGTGTTACACTAGACCGACACCCCACACACCTGTATAAACACAAACAACAGTGTTACACTAGACCGACACCCCACACACCTGTATAAACACAAACAACAGTGTTACACTAGACCGACACCCCACACACCTGTATAAACACAAACAACAGTGTTACACTAGACCGACACCCCACACACCTGTATAAACACAAACAACAGTGTTACACTAGACCGACACCCCACACACCTGTATAAACACAAACAACAGTGTTACACTAGACCGACACCCCACACACCTGTATAAACACAAACAACAGTGTTACACTAGACCGACACCCCACACACCTGTATAAACACAAACAACAGTGTTACACTAGACCGACACCCCACACACCTGTATAAACACAAACAACAGTGTTACACTAGACCGACACCCCACACACCTGTATAAACACAAACAACAGTGTTACACTAGACCGACACCCCACACACCTGTATAAACACAAACAACAGTGTTACACTAGACCGACACCCCACACACCTGTATAAACACAAACAACAGTGTTACACTAGACCGACACCCCACACACCTGTATAAACACAAACAACAGTGTTACACTAGACCGACACCCCACACACCTGTATAAACACAAACAACAGTGTTACACTAGACCGACACCCCACACACCTGTATAAACACAAACAACAGTGTTACACTAGACCGACACCCCACACACCTGTATAAACACAAACAACAGTGTTACACTAGACCGACACCCCACACACCTGTATAAACACAAACAACAGTGTTACACTAGACCGACACCCCACACACCTGTATAAACACAAACAACAGTGTTACACTAGACCGACACCCCACACACCTGTATAAACACAAACAACAGTGTTACACTAGACCGACACCCCACACACCTGTATAAACACAAACAACAGTGTTACACTAGACCGACACCCCACACACCTGTATAAACACAAACAACAGTGTTACACTAGACCGACACCCCACACACCTGTATAAACACAAACAACAGTGTTACACTAGACCGACACCCCACACACCTGTATAAACACAAACAACAGTGTTACACTAGACCGACACCCCACACACCTGTATAAACACAAACAACAGTGTTACACTAGACCGACACCCCACACACCTGTATAAACACAAACAACAGTGTTACACTAGACCGACACCCCACACACCTGTATAAACACAAACAACAGTGTTACACTAGACCGACACCCCACACACCTGTATAAACACAAACAACAGTGTTACACTAGACCGACACCCCACACACCTGTATAAACACAAACAACAGTGTTACACTAGACCGACACCCCACACACCTGTATAAACACAAACAACAGTGTTACACTAGACCGACACCCCACACACCTGTATAAACACAAACAACAGTGTTACACTAGACCGACACCCCACACACCTGTATAAACACAAACAACAGTGTTACACTAGACCGACACCCCACACACCTGTATAAACACAAACAACAGTGTTACACTAGACCGACACCCCACACACCTGTATAAACACAAACAACAGTGTTACACTAGACCGACACCCCACACACCTGTATAAACACAAACAACAGTGTTACACTAGACCGACACCCCACACACCTGTATAAACACAAACAACAGTGTTACACTAGACCGACACCCCACACACCTGTATAAACACAAACAACAGTGTTACACTAGACCGACACCCCACACACCTGTATAAACACAAACAACAGTGTTACACTAGACCGACACCCCACACACCTGTATAAACACAAACAACAGTGTTACACTAGACCGACACCCCACACACCTGTATAAACACAAACAACAGTGTTACACTAGACCGACACCCCACACACCTGTATAAACACAAACAACAGTGTTACACTAGACCGACACCCCACACACCTGTATAAACACAAACAACAGTGTTACACTAGACCGACACCCCACACACCTGTATAAACACAAACAACAGTGTTACACTAGACCGACACCCCACACACCTGTATAAACACAAACAACAGTGTTACACTAGACCGACACCCCACACACCTGTATAAACACAAACAACAGTGTTACACTAGACCGACACCCCACACACCTGTATAAACACAAACAACAGTGTTACACTAGACCGACACCCCACACACCTGTATAAACACAAACAACAGTGTTACACTAGACCGACACCCCACACACCTGTATAAACACAAACAACAGTGTTACACTAGACCGACACCCCACACACCTGTATAAACACAAACAACAGTGTTACACTAGACCGACACCCCACACACCTGTATAAACACAAACAACAGTGTTACACTAGACCGACACCCCACACACCTGTATAAACACAAACAACAGTGTTACACTAGACCGACACCCCACACACCTGTATAAACACAAACAACAGTGTTACACTAGACCGACACCCCACACACCTGTATAAACACAAACAACAGTGTTACACTAGACCGACACCCCACACACCTGTATAAACACAAACAACAGTGTTACACTAGACCGACACCCCACACACCTGTATAAACACAAACAACAGTGTTACACTAGACCGACACCCCACACACCTGTATAAACACAAACAACAGTGTTACACTAGACCGACACCCCACACACCTGTATAAACACAAACAACAGTGTTACACTAGACCGACACCCCACACACCTGTATAAACACAAACAACAGTGTTACACTAGACCGACACCCCACACACCTGTATAAACACAAACAACAGTGTTACACTAGACCGACACCCCACACACCTGTATAAACACAAACAACAGTGTTACACTAGACCGACACCCCACACACCTGTATAAACACAAACAACAGTGTTACACTAGACCGACACCCCACACACCTGTATAAACACAAACAACAGTGTTACACTAGACCGACACCCCACACACCTGTATAAACACAAACAACAGTGTTACACTAGACCGACACCCCACACACCTGTATAAACACAAACAACAGTGTTACACTAGACCGACACCCCACACACCTGTATAAACACAAACAACAGTGTTACACTAGACCGACACCCCACACACCTGTATAAACACAAACAACAGTGTTACACTAGACCGACACCCCACACACCTGTATAAACACAAACAACAGTGTTACACTAGACCGACACCCCACACACCTGTATAAACACAAACAACAGTGTTACACTAGACCGACACCCCACACACCTGTATAAACACAAACAACAGTGTTACACTAGACCGACACCCCACACACCTGTATAAACACAAACAACAGTGTTACACTAGACCGACACCCCACACACCTGTATAAACACAAACAACAGTGTTACACTAGACCGACACCCCACACACCTGTATAAACACAAACAACAGTGTTACACTAGACCGACACCCCACACACCTGTATAAACACAAACAACAGTGTTACACTAGACCGACACCCCACACACCTGTATAAACACAAACAACAGTGTTACACTAGACCGACACCCCACACACCTGTATAAACACAAACAACAGTGTTACACTAGACCGACACCCCACACACCTGTATAAACACAAACAACAGTGTTACACTAGACCGACACCCCACACACCTGTATAAACACAAACAACAGTGTTACACTAGACCGACACCCCACACACCTGTATAAACACAAACAACAGTGTTACACTAGACCGACACCCCACACACCTGTATAAACACAAACAACAGTGTTACACTAGACCGACACCCCCACACACCTGTATACACACACAAAAAACAGTGTTATACTAGACCGACACCCCACACACCTGTATAAACATAAACAACAGTGTTACACTAGACCGATGCCCCACACACCTGTACACACACAAACAACAGTGCTATACTAGACCGATGCCCCACACACCTGTATACATACAACAACAGTGTTACACTAAACCGTGCCCAACACACCTGTATACATACAACAACAGTGTTATACTGGACTGACACCCCACACACCTGTATAAACACAACAACAGTGTTATACTAGACCGATGTCCCACACACCTGTATAAACACAACAACAAAGTTACACTAATAGGGAGAGTGGGCAAGTATGGCATGGTGTCTTAGTAATGAGAACAATAAGATTCACCAAAAGTTTGAAAAAGATGTCCAAGACTAACCTGAAAAAAGTCTACAAAATTTCCTGCAAGTAGCTGCTTTCACGAAAAAAATACAGAAGAACATTGTTACATACCTGTACTCTGAAGCTTTATTTCAAAGTAAGCCTTGTCTTGTGCGATCGGGGCATTTGATAGGGCAGATCCTGTTCCACATATCCGTTTTCCACTTTTCACAATAACAACATCATTTCCTAACAACAAAATTTCAATCAGACAAAATAAATAATAATAACAATAATATACAACATTTGATATAGGTTTCTATCTAGCTAGAATATTAAGCCACTAGCTATCAAACACTTTACAGTACATATCTACAATTTATACAATCAATACAATTAGCAAATACAATAATTAATACAATTTTTGAGGAATTCGCAGGAGCTGCCTGACTTATCAGGCGCTAACTACTAGTCATATGCCACCTGGCTATTAACTCCCTATGTGTGTATGCCTGTATGCATATGTGTGCTGTAGATGTATTGTGTTCTGTTTGTAGTTGGACCGTGCTTCCAACAGTATCATTTATAGTGCCACCTCACTTGAATGCTACAGCACAGATACCGCATTAATCCACCCCAGACCAATTTTGATCATTTTTGATCAACCCCGACCATTTTAAACTCTAACTGGGTTGTTGGAGTTATTCTGGCAGGAGAAAAACACTTTCTCAGAATATTCAATGCACACAAAGATTTTGAGGATACCCACCGCACTCGACCATTGTCACTTCAGATGTAACAAGGCATTTTAGTGGTGGTCAATCCAAATAATTTGCGATGGTATAACTGTGATATACCATGCATCTCTAGCCAATTCCTCATTTTTATATGAAGCCTGGGTGGCGATAGTTAATTCTGACAATGACCTCTCTGACCCTGAATTTTATCATTAATGATGTCACAAAAAATAATTTGACCCGAAAGGTAAATGTGATTCTGTCTCACTTTGAATAGTTTCACGTCACCAATCCACAGCAGAGAGACTCAGGTTTTGAAAAGAACACACAAAACCTTCCTAAAATTCGTTTCTTTTGGTGATTTAAGATGATATTGGAATGGGGACAACCCTTATATTTACTTTATTATAATCAGAATTGCTAATGTATATAATGATTGTATACTGTCGCAAATATCCTTGTTACTGGCTTCATTCTGTATCCCCAGTAAAGCTAAATTTCCAACAGTATGATTATGATATACCAAAGCTAATCTCATAATACAGTAGGGTTATTCCTTAATTCATAGTTTTTACTTGATGACAAATTAAATGCTAGTTAGTCTGTTTTGAATGCAAACATTTGATTTGCACTCTTTACTTGGCAAAGGAAACAGACGTTTTTTCAAGCTCACAAAATTAGTTTTCAATTACTGTTTCTGTTCAAAACAAAGCTTTTCATATTCATACCAAACTGATGAATCTTATTCCAAATATTGAAATTATTTTCATCATAATATATTAACTGATCTGGTTTTAGCATACCTCTTGTTATGGCTGAGGAATTAAATATTTGCATTCCATCAAATTACTTCATGATAAATTAAAAAGAGTCCTAACACTATGGGGTGAGTAGGAACGACTTAGGCAAGTTAGGGGCCGGTACTGGCCGGGGCATTTACAGAGCCGAACAGGGATCCCCTCGGATAGCCTGTTACTTCTATCCAGCTCTCCAACTTACGCAACAAAACGTAAAATACTAAACATCACACTCAAACATTAACGCGTTTGGGACAAGAAAGTCAACGGTCTATCTAACTATATGTTATACTCCACAGAAACCAACATGGCTTTAATGCGGAGAGTTGAAAATCCGCAGAACCATGAGAAGGAGGGGGGGGGGGGGTACTGTCACGTCAACACAAAACACCAAGAGTGGTGATCTTACGATCGCCATACTTCTCACCCATATTTGTCGTGTCGAGTTTCACGGTGGGTATGTCTTTGAGTTGAACATGACCGGAACGATTCGCTCTGTTCCCACAACAAAAACACGGACAGTAGAAAGACGTCCAGCTCATTTCGCTGTACAAACCGGAAGTTTAACGTTGGATACTAACTACTAGAGTGGTAATCGCACAGAATATCAGGAAAACTGTTCCGTCAAATAGCTATAGGTCGTTACCTTGGTTAACAACAAAGCTGTTGAGAAAAGTAAAAAGAACAAACCCCACGCACGAATCGCCTTTCACAGGTTAGATTAAAGATAACTATATGTCCGTGATAATCGTAAAAAAATATCTTCTTCTTCCTCAGAGGTTTGAGTGCAATATTTATATAGATTTTTGTTGGAAGAAATTTGGTTAAGGTTTGTGTGCCCTTTTTGTTCCTATCACCTGATGTTATGTATGATGTTGAATCTATAGCCACATAATTATGTATGATCTTATAAAGCATAATTAGACTGGCCTTTGTTCTTCGATTGGCTTGGGGTTCCCAGTTCAGTGACACAGCCAAGCTCTCTAGATCTATGTTGGTTGTACCACGGAATTAGATTAGTCTAAGTCCGTGATTGTACATACCGGGCAGCTCTAACTCTCGTCTGGATGTTCTCGATTACCAGGACCAGATATTTTCAACAGATGTTAAACACCAATATTTTACCAGAACATCTACCATTTCTAATTACCCTGACCCTAACAAAGGACAAAATAAAACTGATTCGCTCCGCTCGGCGCTGATCATAAACGAAACACTTAAACGTTTTCTCTAAACACACTTAAATAAACCACAGCGCATTTATAGTTATTTTTCTCTGGGGCTACGCCTCTCATTAATCAGAGACGTATAATACATTATACGTCTCTGCATTAATACATCAATGCAAATTGTTAACGTGTTAGACAAAATTACAATGATCTGAGGTCAAAAACATTTTGGGGCATTTTACTTTAGTTTGATTGGAAATCTACGTACTATACATGCAGAGACGTATATAACACATACGTCTCTGGTACATGCTTTTCTTTTACTTTGTTTTATTGGACATATGAATACTTATGACTAATAACAAATACCCCAGATCTCACAACATCTTGGAGTTCTTTGATGTGAACATGGAAAAGGATGTGGTCTCCAATACGGCTTCTTGCGGGACACCAGTTGGAACGACAGACATCCTCTTTCTGACACGTACGCTGTCGATAGATCCATCGCTCCGTCACTTCACTTTGCTATCACGTTTCTACTGTCCGTGTTTTTGTTGTAGGTTCAACTCTAAGACATATATACCCACCGTGAAACTCGACACGACAAATATGGGTGTCGATAGATCCATCGCTCCATCACTTCGATTCCAGCTCCTCCACAAGAACTTTGCTTTTATAATATCATCACGTTTCACCAGAATTGCTTTTCAACAAGGGCTTCTGGCAAGCAAGTTGAACATTTAACCAGAGGCGTATAATTTTAACTTGTTTACTCAGAAAAACTGTATTTTCAAAGCTAAATTATGAAACTTTGCAAGTATTGTAACAACCTCATTTTAATTTCCTGGCTAGAATTTTTTTTTTTTTTTTTTTATTTATTTATTAATTTATTTCCTGAAACAGTTTTTACATGTTAAAACATTTTGTATCACATATATGCTTTGTTAGAATTTAGGCAAGAGTATTATTTACGTTTCATACTGTTAACATTTCATAAAAAAGAGATGTTAAAATTTGATTTAGATAGTACCAAGTTTTCTTATTTAACTCTGTGATGCCACAATGCTTTAAAATATTTCCCATCGACACCTGTTTCATACTTGTTTTTTATTTTATTTAATTTTTTATTTTTTAATTATCTTTTTATTCAGATTTTTCATCAATGCAATGTACATGTACAATAAATAACAAAACGTTCACTCATTTGTATACAGGCACATACATACATAAACCTATATCTGTTATGTCCACATTTGTCATAGAGTACATACATTCTCACGATGATATTTAACCACAATAGCATACATACTCATTTCCGTCTATTTTAACATTTTATTACCTATATATATGCATCCATCCATGTGTCTGACATCTATATGTCTCAACCATTCATTGCTATGTCTCATGTAAAAATAGAACACATATCAACCTTCATCACATATGGTACAGTATATATCTTTATGCTAGAAACAATATCTGCATTAAATTTTATATAACCGCACATACTGTATAACTCATGTCCATGTCAAAAACACCCATGTCCATGCATAAGCATAATTAAGATGATTTCACCATACTCGCATGCGTTGTACTCACACAAACCCATATGCATGATATTAGACATTTTCAGACATTCCTGTATGTACTAGTACTGATTATTGAAATGTAAATTTATGCAAAGAGAAAAAATATCAGTCCCACACAAAAAGGTAAATGAAAAATTTGCACAGTCTACTGAGTACATTGCATTGTCTTTATAAGAAAGAGGAATTGAGATAGAGATTGAGAAAATAAAAAGAAAGGGAGAATAGAGAACATAAAGAAACGAGAGAAGAAATGTATGAAAAGTTGGGCGAGATGGTGGAAAAAGGAGGTGGATATTCACTCATGTATATTATATTATATATAGGTAATATATCGGCTTTGTGAAGGGCAGAACTTAAAATATGTATGATAGAGTATGTCTCAAAGATAATAATTATAATAATAATAGAAATGTATTACAGCTTAATTAGTTTGTCCCATTTTTTCCAGTCATTTTCAAATTTATGTTTAGCTTTTTCATCCTTACCATTAACAATGTATTTTTGAATCTGATAGTTGTCCTTTATTATGTTTACAAGAGCGTTTACATTTAATGAGTTATGTAAACATCTCACTCTGTAAATATACTGCTTTATAATGATGATGATTTCATTATCTACTCGATTACTTGGAAGAAAATTCTGATGAAGAAGGCCAAAAAGAAAAGATTTTTTGTTTACTGAAAATGGGATTAAAAGAGCTTCCATTAATGTGTCAAAACTTTCTAGTAATCTTTGTACTTCCCCACATTCCCATAGAATATGAGTAATTGTTTCCGGTTCAGAGTTGCATAATACACAAAGAGGGGAGACAACTACTCCAATTTTAGATAGAAATGAATTAGTTGTAAGTACATGATGAATCACTCTATACTGGAACCACTGGAGTTTTGTATTTGTTGTTACACAGAAAGGCATTTTGTAGATTTTACACCAAGTTAGTTCTGGCTAGAAATATTATAAAATAATTAATTTCTGTGGGGTTTTTTTGAAATTGTCTAAAGGAATCTAGGTCAAAACGGCCGCAGTGTAAAAACGGCCCTAGTTAAAACGGCCCTTCTGTTTAAATCGTCATAAACAATTTGATTGGAATTATAAGATGTAATTTTGAAAATGTATATTCCAATAAATAAACAAATATAAAGGGAGGGATATATATATTAAAATTGATGTATATTCCAATAAATAAACAAATATAAAGGGAGGGATATATATATTAAAATTGATGTATATTCCAATAAATAGACAATTATAACAGAACGTATATATATGTATGAACATTGATGTATATTCCAATAAATAGACAATTATAACGGGACGTATATATATGTATGAACATTGATGTAAATTTCGATAAATAGACAATTATAACGTAATGATTAATTTGACAATTACTAAATTAAACAACAACACTTATACAACAGTTAGATTATGTCTTCTTATCTTTTATATAAAATCATCCTATCTTACCATACACGGAAATGTATCAATTGGGTATTTCTGTGATTGACATTTATATATATTTCATATCACTTACCGGTACCACACGTTCTATGCTGCCATCTACTACAGCAATCGCACTGCAGTGCTAACTGCATGCTGTGCAGGTCGAATAACACTGTCGCACTCTAAACAGTTCTTCAATGCTGGTCTCATGGTTGAAAGTCTTATTCAAATGACATGTGAAGATTTTGTTATACATTCGTCCAATTATTACACCCTTTGACCAATCCCGTTAATTGCTGTTTTAATTGAGGCACTCCGAGGTACTCTGTTAAAACAACAAAGACCCTCCTCCCATATCTAAATTATTATAAGTTGATATTGTAACTATTTTTTTCAAATGCTATTCAATAAGTTTTTTAATTAATTCTTTTCTCTAAATAATTAAATTAAATTACACACTGAAGTAGAAAACACCATTGCAAAGTTATTTGAGACTGAGGAGGGTCAACTATTAATGAAAACACAAACACAATTATAATGTTTGTATCTGTACATGTACATATCTGTATTTATTGAAAGCGCATGTAACTTTATTAACATGATATCAAGTTATGTACCTGTATTACGCACTTGTAGTACTTGCAGTACTATACAGTATATACTATACTATACTATATATAAAGTGGGGCTGTTTTAACTAGAGCCGTTTTTACTAGGGCCGTTACTGCAGTGCGGCCGTTTTAACCGTATACCGTCTAGAGAACAAAAACGAAGTTCGTGTTCTCCTGAAGCCAGAATCATTACCGATATATGTAAACACAGCCACGATGTGCAATCTTTCGATGTTTGGTGTTTTCTAAACCTAATAATTTTAGTTTACATTCAATGTAGCACTCCCAAAAACCGCATGGAAATATCAGCTAGCTACGGGTTTAATATTACGTTGATTCTCGATGTTTTCTCATGGCATAATTATGTTTTGAACAGGAAAGGATTATTTAATGCAGCGAACCGTACATCCAATATGGCGCAGGTGAAGCGTAACTCGCGATATGACATCCGGTTACCAGTGACCAATGGTAAGGCCAAGAGCAAGTTGCCAACGTCTCTGATTAAACTCACCGTTGTCGACGTCATACTATTAGTCTTCGACTACTATTGAAACAATTTGCTACAGTCGATTCTTCTTTCCGAACCGTCAAGCACGAGAGAATTGTGATTTGTGTATTTTAAGATACAAAAAACTTTATTTAGTGTCGATATGGTTAACAAGAACATAAGCTTTTATAGGAGCTTGTATTTCGACAAACAAAGTAAAAAGAACGTAAAAAATGCTAACAACACATGATAAGGACATGACTATAAGAACTATAGAAACAGAAAAGCTGAGATCATAAAACACTGTCCTACATAAAACACGCGACACTAAATAATAGTAACATAAAACACACGACACTAAATAATAGTTACATAAAACACACGACACTAAATAATAGTTACATAAAACACACGACACTAAATGATAGTTGCATAAAACACGCGACACTAAATAATAGTTACATAAAACATGCGACGCTAAATACTAGTTACATAAAACATACGACACTAAATAATAGTTACATAAAACACACGACACTAAATAATAGTTACATAAAACATGCGACACTAAATACTAGTTACATAAAACATACGACACTAAATAATAGTTACATAAAACATGCGACACTAAATAATAGTTACATTAAACATGCGACACTAAATAATAGTTACATAAAACAAAGAGGACAAGCACATGTTTACACTACGAAAATGAAACTACAGTCATACAGGCACTTAAACAGTAAAAAGTGTTGAGCAATAAAAACTGAAGCTGGAGATTGGATATAACTTCATTTGTATATAATTATTGTTTTGTTACAGATATATTTATTTTACACAGGATGCAGTATGTACAAAAATTAATCAGATTTCTAATATCATTACCAAATGTCATTACTGATATTACAATGTAACACCACGCGTACGGAATTAGATTAGATTGATTTTTAAGTCCGTGGTAACACAGAATCGAGAAGTATCTATATGTCATCAGCAACTTACCCCTCCCCCCCCCCCTCCCCCTAGAAAATATTGCATTTTCTGTATATGTATCTTTTATGTATATTTTAATGAAGGTAATAATCTTTTCGATGTTAAAAATAAGTGCTGGTATTTTTAATACATCGAGCAGGTGCCCGTCCGAGTCTGGCAATTCCGTAGTTATTCAGTGTTCGGTTCTATATTTAGATTGTACATTCTAGATCTTTTGCACGCTTTTATTGATATAATGCGTCCATGAAAATTTGCACATGTATGTCGTTCTATGTTAAACAGGTTGCACCCGCCGAACCTTATGTCACTTGCTTATAAATTTACAGACTCATCAGAAAGACCCTTATGTCATCTGGCAGTCCCCTCAATAAATGGTAAGTATATTTTGACTTCGTTCTTACCGTTTAGATGCTGATGACGGCTGAGACTCCGAAACGGATGCAGCTACTGCACAGCATGCAACTTTTAAGTTAAGGTTCAACAAGCCCCGTACACATGTTGTAGTAGCCCTAATGTCAAACCCCTGATACGTCATATTCAAAGACCTCATTAAATAATCGGAACTAATTTTTGTAATTTGAATGTATTTAACATTACAGTTTACACTAGCTAATAGTAGGCCTGATAATAATGAGGTAAGTCATGTGTGAACTGATCAGCTTGCAAACTTATAAAAATACTGTTTTTTGAATGATAGCTGTCAGTAATGTAGGAAACATCCAATCCCATACTTGCCAAATTTTTGAAATTTCCATGGGGAGATTACCCGTACTCGGAATTATAAACATAAATAAAATGTTTGTATATTTAAAATCAGGGACAGTATATAGAGGGGATTGGCAACTCTGCCCCAGTCAAGATTCTATAGCACGTCGCTTTTGTGTTTGTTCACCGAACAGCAAAATCATCGAGAGCCCCTCTCGTTTAGCCCGCGCTTGCGCACTAGCGTTACAATTAAGCATGCACCTGCTTTCGGTGTCGTGTCAACAATCTCGCCGAGATCGAAGTGTTTTGATAACGGTTAGCCCTGATTGGGACTGTGTATAAGTAGGTCTTCTTTTTATTCTAGGGACAGGGATATCATTGCCACTATGTCTAGCCTTTCGGCTGTGTTGGTGGCTATTACAACAAATCACATTTCGTAAAGCACGTTCCAGTGAAAATAATGCTAATATTGACACTTTTTGACACAAAAACAGCGCAAGTTATTTGTTATTTTTTTCCATAAAAATTAGTACTACATATCAAAAAAATATCCAATTTTCTATCGCTGTAAATTTCAAAAATAAGTATTTTTTAAATGAGCTGATCCTCGAATGCAGGCGATACTTTTTTGTTGCGTTTAACATTTCCGGTTGTTTACGGTTTTTAAGAACACATGTCCTTCGTTACCAGACGAGTAATTTCATCTGTGACATCGCTATCGTTCCAAATAATGCAAATCAAATCTACTTAGCATAGAAATTACTCGGCTGTCTATTGATATTAATTGTTTTAAAAAATACAACGATAGTTTATAAAATTAATCAAAACAGTGATCAGTCACCAACTACTTTCACAATGATTTACGTTCCAGTGAAAGATATTGCTGATGTTTACATTTTTTGACACAAAAATAACACAAGTTAAATTAAAATATTTGCAATTAGAATGGGTTGGGTCGTATTAAAAATTATTCAGCTTTCTATTGCTGCTAGTTTAAAAAGGATTGGTCAAATATTTTTGGAGTGAGGTGGTTCACATACATGTGGGTTTTTTTTTACCCCGCATTTTTGTCTATCAACGCCCACCACACTGCTCTGAACCACGCGTTGCATTGCGTTTAAAAATAGAAAAATATACCCCAAAAACGAGACATCAATTACTATGATACCACAGATTTTATCAATTAAAAGTAATACAATCAGCTTATAACAATGGGATACACAAAAGACGTAAGAACACTTATCGAGATTGGTTTGTTTTCACACCAACTTCTGCATCTAACGAAGCGGTATCAACGCCATCTTGCTTTGTCAAAATTGAGATAGGTGGCGCTCGCTATCTGCTCCTGAATCAGGGGGAGGTAAGTCTAGATTGACGTGTCATAAAACTGGTAAGGCAGAGAGGGAGTTGCTAATCCCCTTCATTATACGTCCCTGTTAAAATACATCTTTCATTCCATTTTTTCAACGAAGATCATTAATTTTTTATTTAAATATTCTGATTTGTAAGTCTGGTTAAAACTGATCATGACATTTCATGACGGACAAGTATAACAGTGTCAATGAAAACAGTCGGCAGAGGAATATAGGACCTGTATAACTCAACTCTGTCTTCTCTTACAGTATATTGGACTTTAAATAACTTGAGATCATGATCATTGATAGATATTTCAAAATTTGAATTGATCTATCAATGCTTAATTGTTAACAGCAATGTCAGAAACATATTTTATTGATCTGCTGGAATTGAGAATAATCAAAGATGCCTCAAGAAAACAGAATTTTGTGTTTGTATAACAGCATGCACTGCTCAGCCGATTGCTTTGCGATGGCTGAGAGTACCCGGTATTAAAATGGTACACAGCCAAGCAGTTTAACATAGTCAAAGGCATTAAGGCTGATGTCTTCATAAAAATAGTTACAAGACTTATAACATGTCAATATTTTTTAATTTGCAACCTAACTGAGTGCTAAGGAATCGGCATATAATTTATATTCATTCACATATATACCTAGGACATGCAGAGTTTAATTTCTTATTTACTAGCTGTTGAGTTGAAAACTGACTTCGATTCAAGATATATATTGCCTTGCAAAACCACTAAAATTATAGTAAAATCCACAGGTACTATATTTTAGCAGATTAAAAAAAGAAAACAAAGGCTAAGTAACCATATGATAGGTCAATGAACTTTAGATGATGTGTGCTATTTGGTAACATTCTGTGATGTAATGTGTGTGCTAGACATGTCATAAACATTGAAACTGAAAAAATGTCTACCTTTTTAGCCCGACATCATCTGATGGTGGGCGTGGGCTATTCAAATCACCCTGCGTCCATAGTCCGTCGTCCGTCCTTAAACAATTCTTTCTCAAATTTTATATGTAGGTTCCCCTTGGTCCTAAGCTGTGCAGGGCAACTTTTGCGACTGAGCGGATAAACAACATGGCCAACAGGCAGCCATCTTGGATTTTGATAGTGAAAGTTTGTTATCGCTATTTCTCAAGAAGTACCAGAGGGATCTTTCCCAAATTTTATATGTAGGTTACCCTTAGTCCATAGCTGTACAGGGCAACTTTTGAGACTGATCGGATAAACAACATGGCCGACAGGCAGCCATCTTGGAATTTGATAGGGAAAATTTGTTATCGCTATTTCTCAAGAAGTACCAGAGGGATCTTTTTTTAAAAACAATATGTAGGTTCCCCTTGGTTTTTATACAGGCAGCCATCTTGGATTTTGATAGTGAAGGTTTGTTACCACTATTTCTCCGGAAGAATTAGAGAGATCTTTCTTAAATTTTATATGTAGGTTCCCCTTGGGCCTAGCTGTGCAGGGCGATGTTAGAGACTGATCAGATAAGCAACATGGCCGACAGCCAGCCATTTTGGATTTTGATAGTGAAAGTTTGTTATCGCTATTTCTCGGGAATTACCAGAGGGATCTTTCTCAAATTTTATATGTATGTTCCCCTTAGTCTATAGCTGTACAGGGCAATTTTTGAGACAGATCAGATAAACAACATGGCAGACAGCCAGCCATCTTGGATTTTGATAGTGAAGGTTTGTTACCGCTATTTCTCCGGAAGAATGAGAGGGATCTTTCTTAAATTTTATATGTAGGTTCCCCTTGGTCCTAAGCTGTGCAGGGCAACTTTTGCGACTGAGCGGATAAACAACATGGTCAACAGGCAGCCATCTTGGATTTTGATAGTGAAAGTTTGTTATCGCTATTTCTCAAGAAGTACCAGAGGGATCTTTTTTTAAAAACAATATGTAGGTTCCCCTTGGATTTTATACAGGTAGCCATCTTGGATTTTGATAGTGAAGGTTTGTTACCACTATTTCTCCGGAAGAATGAGAGGGATCTTTCTTAAATTTTATATGTAGGTTCCCCTTGGGCCTAGCTGTGCAGGGCGATGTTAGAGACTGATCAGATAAGCAACATGGCCGACAGCCAGCTATCTTGGATTTTGATAGTGAAAGTTTGTTATCGCTATTTCTCGGGAAGTACCAGAGGGATCTTTCTCAAATTTTATATGTAGGTTTCCCTTGATCTCTCATTTTGCATGTTATATTTTGAGACTGATCATTTAAACAAAATGGATTAAAAGAAGAAGTTAACAGATCTTTCTCATATTGCAATGATCGATTCTATTTCTTTCACATTAAGTACTGTACTCGTAAATATGTAAAATGACAAACTCACTTTGATGGTTGGCTAGCATACACATTGGTATTAAGTTTAGATCAGAAGTTACCTCAAGGTGCATTTACTGTTAACATGACTCGATCAAACAGATTAGAGGAAAGAACAGAAAAGATCGAACTGACAAAGAACTAATGAAGGCGGTACAAAGGTAGGCGCCAAGATCCCTCTGGGATCTCTTGTTTAATAGTTACATGAAATGTCAAGAAAGAACAATTTATATAAACTTAAAGTTTATGTAGTTTTTATGGTCATAGGTCTATGGCCAAAGAGAGTGACATGTTATGAGGCCGGTGAAGTATGTTTGTGAAGACATCAGCCTTAATGCCTTATGAGTAACTACGTTAACCTGGCTTAATGTACCATTCTAATAAAGGTAATGTTCAGGTTCAATAAATTTAAATTAAATATATACATATCCCAATTTTTAGATAGTGTCTTGGAATATGACTTGTGCGGGTGTTGAACTTCAGGCTGACTTGAGTATCGTTTAGGGGTTGGTAATCCTTAACAGCAGGCTAACATTTACAGGATTTCACCAAACATACACCTACATCATTTTATTATTACCATCACAGAGTCACCACAAGCAGGATATTAAAAATGAAAACCCAAATGAATGAAAAATGGACACTAGCTTCCAGTTATTGTATATTATAGGGGATATTGACACACAAAGCTAAGTGCCTATGAATGGAATAGATAAATCCATATATCTACACTTGCATTTTTTCTATGCAGATATACAATTTACCATGAATATTTTTATGTAGTTATTAATTATTGCCCACTGCAGGTTCATGGATAGAATGGAAAAAAGTTGAAGAATCCCTATTAACTATCAGACTAAAGTTAGACTAGTACTAATATTAATACCCGGCCTCCTCTGCCCCAACGCAATGCAGTGTATATAAAAATGGTCTCGTCGCCAGAAGGTAAGTTATTGCAACTGTGGTTAGACATGCAAGTATGTGTTAATTTTCGTTTGATCTAATGCTTTTTTGGCTTGCAAGGTTAAGTACAGTTCTAGATCTGTATACAGACTCAAAAATTGGCAAACTCTCTCAACCAGTTAAGCAGTTTTTATCATTGGCATCAACCAGCCACTATTTCATGCATTGGCACACACTTCAGCTGCCATTAGAGATTTGAGAAAGATCTGTCCAACATATATATAGTTAATGAAAAAAGCCATAAAACAGAATTGTTTAGGACAGACTTCAGACAAAAGTCAGTTTGAACACCCTCTGGTGATAGTGGGCTTAACACTTTCAATAACTAATTTTGTATTTCTTCTTTTGAAGGTAAAAATGTATTAGAGTTAAGCCATGGGAGATAACTCACCTCCCCTGGATGGGGGCTGGGGCTGGATGGTTGTCCTTGGTAAGTCAGTAACCAGTATTAAAACATCACAGTGACCTATTAGTCACATTCACACAGCTACTGGTAGGTTACAAAGACCCATTTAGCCACAACAACATGTTCAGGATCTTCTAGTCCGAATTATTCTGACATTTTATCGATTTTTTTCATAACGGTCTGTCGCCGTTTAATGTCAGAACTCCGGCCCTCTATAATATGGGGGAAATATGCGACCCGTGCCCGGAGCGCACTTCAGACTGATATTTTAGAAACAAATCGTCACTTTCGCACACATGTCGCACATGGATCGAAAGATCTATTCTTTATGCGCTAGGTGGTATCAATAACATGTTTCAAAGATAATTACGAAAAGTATGTTCAAACGTTTTCTATACCAACCCATGTTTTTAATGGAAATTAGGCCATGATCAATGTCACATGACTTGACGAGATCTCGCGTTAGTGAAGGTATTTCCCAACATTATGCGTAGGCCGTTGAGATTTTAGTCACCTGGCATTAAAAGGCGGGGCTACCAAAAAACTAGAGTAATACAGAGTAAGTTTGAAAAAATCTGTTTTTAGTGATTGTATTAGTTGTTTGAGGTATGTTATGTATGATCATCTTGTGCATAAAGAATAGATCTTACGATCCATATGCGACATGTGTGTGAAAGTGACAATTTGTTTCTAAAATATCAGTTTGAAGTGCACTCGGGGTGTGGGTCGCATATTTCCCGCATATTATAGAGGGCCGGAGTTCTGACGTTAATCGACGACAGACCAATATAAAAAAAAAGTCGATAAAACGTCAGAATAATTCGGACTAAGGATCTTCAAACTACACAGGATGACAAGCATCGGCTATATGTAGCTACTGGCAATGGAAGAGCGTGGACACCTGTTCAATTTTACAGTCATTAGAATAACCATCATCAAAGCATTGTGTCCAGACTCTTAACTGGACCTTCTAACTTCACAGGATGACTTCCTAACAGTTTATGGGGAATTGAATTCGAAAGATTTTGAAGTTAAGGGGTCAAAAATTTCCATTCAAACATCAGTTTGTATCCTGCCAGATCAATCCACATTGTGAACAGAAGGGCAGAAGTATTAGTTACATGCTTACACATCTACTATTGGCAGTAGATAAACAAATGAGGTGTGTACATATGTGTAGCTGGTTACCGTTATGAAGAATTCTTCCGTCCATATTATCTGGGTAACTATAAGCACTATATATAGGCATGGATTAAACATACTTTCATTAATGATACTGCCAGGGTTGCTCTAGTTCTACTATATATTAAAACATCGCCAGGAGGCTGAATTTGACCTATATTTGATACCTTCTAAATGTATTTGCCATCACCTAAATGTTTTTGCCATCATCTAAATGTATTTGTTCATCACTTTGCAGCATTGGAAAATATTAGTATTTACACAGTTGCTTTATACATTTAGTTTGAAAGCAAGGTTGTTTTAGAAATATAGCAATATAAAATGTAGCGCTCTGTACAATTGACAATTGTAAAGTACGCTACATCATTACTAGACATTTTATCGTGACTTGGTATTTTGAAGACAGTTTCTTCTTGTACTTACCTGGTAATTAAAACCCTCGTTAGGTTTGTAAATCCTAGTTATGTTTATGTTGCAGGCTTTTTTGGCTGTAATTTCTTTATGGTTGGTATTGCCAAATCGTTTGGAATAATGCTGGAGGAACTGGTGATTTACTTCAACACTGACATGGCTACAGCAGCACTGGTGATGGGGGTGGCTGGTGGCATCTACACATTGGCTTGTAAGTAGGACACGGTAAAGGGTGATATGACACACTGTTTCCCCTTGCAGAAAGGTTCCCCCCCCTCCCCTCACCTTAAAAAAATAAGAAAAGATGGGAATATCTTTCCAATTCCAATATAAGTGATTTTATATTTTCCCAATTCATGTTTGAACAGACTCGTTGTGAAAACCACTGATCAACAAATGTTCAGTTGTGTATCATACTCCAAAGTGAATTTCTGTATCAGTACATTTTTTAAACTAACGGGTATAACTGTATAAACTATTACTAAAAATGCTTTTGTCGCAGGTAAACTTTTGCATTTTTTGTTCTCCACATTGAGGGCAATAAATCAAAATAACAATAGACTTGACTCTGAGAAAAAACAGAGAAGCACTGTGCAGTAACATGCTAAATCAGCTTGACTCTGACTTTATGAGAAGTAAGCTTGACTCGGTAGACCCTGGAGAAGCAATGTGACTCGAAAAATCAGAGAAGCTATGATAATGGTAATATTCAGCTTGACATGGAATCTGTGAGAAATCACTTGACTCAGAAGATTGAGCTCTTGCTTAAAGAAGTGATTTGACTCCAGACCAACAAGCAGGCGATATAGAACAAGGTCAGACTAGAGCTTGACTCTAACTTGTAGAGAAGTNCTTGATAATGGGAAATCTCATCCCGTTTCGCTCCTGGGGGGATATATTGGCAGTAATCCTGGGACAAGGGGTGAAAGTTCATTCCTGGTAGGGTAACGTCAGTAATCCGTGAGATTTCCATAGCTTATATATGTGTAGTATGATATAGCCCCCAAGGCCAAACCTAAATGTAGATCATCATGAAATGTATATACTTGTGTATTGTTTATTTCTTCTGTTATATGTATAAACATGTGTATGCTGATTTATAAGACATATGCAACAATGTTGGTCATGATAGCATTGCATACCTCTACAGTTGATAAATAGCATTTATTAAACTGTATCATATTGTTCTGGTTGTTTATAAATAAACAACATACCATTCAGTAATTCTTTGTGAAGGACGAATTAACACTGAGGGAATATAGTTTTAGTATAAGATTTTACTGGCAAAATTGTCACAGTGTATTGTATATACATGTATATATATAATCGTTCAAACCTGTATTCATGGTCCATAAATACGTTTCTTACCTCTAAATACAGGTTCAGCTTACATAAAGTTAAACGCCATGGGAGTCAGTTTACATAAAGTTAAACACCATGGGGAATCAGTTTACATAAAGTTAAACGCCATGGGGAGTCAGTTTACATAAAGTTAAACACCATGGGAGTCAGTTTACATAAAGTTAAATGCCATGGGTAATCAGTTAAAATAAAGTTAAACGCTATGGGTAATCAGTTTACATAAAGTTAATCGCCATGGGTAATCAGTTTACATACAGTTAAATGCCATGGGTAATCAGTTTACATAAAGTTAAACTCCATGGGTAATCAGTTTACATAAAGTTAAACACCATGGGGAATCAGTTTACATAAAGTTAAACGCCATGGGGAGTCAGTTTACATAAAGTTAAACACCATGGGAGTCAGTTTACATAAAGTTAAATGCCATGGGTAATCAGTTAAAATAAAGTTAAACGCTATGGGTAATCAGTTTACATAAAGTTAATCGCCATGGGTAATCAGTTTACATACAGTTAAATGCCATGGGTAATCAGTTTACATAAAGTTAAACTCCATGGGTAATCAGTTTACATAAAGTTAAACACCATGGGGAATCAGTTTACATAAAGTTAAACGCCATGGGGAGTCAGTTTACATAAAGTTAAATGCCATGGGAGTCAGTTTACATAAAGTTAAATGCCATGGGTAATCAGTTAAAATAAAGTTAAACGCTATGGGTAATCAGTTTACATAAAGTTAATCGCCATGGGTAATCAGTTTACATAAAGTTAAATGCCATGGGTAATCAGTTTACATAAAGTTAAATGCCATGGGTAATCAGTTTACATAAAGTTAAATGCCATGGGTAATCAGTTTACATAAAGTTAAATGCCATGGGTAATCAGTTTACATAAAGTTAAATGCCATGGGTAATCAGTTTACATAAAGTTAAATGCCATGGGTAATCAGTTTACATAAAGTTAAATGCCATGGGTAATCAGTTTACATAAAGTTAAATGCCATGGGTAATCAGTTTACATAAAGTTAAATGCTATGGGTAATCAGTTTACATAAAGTTAAACGCCATGGGTAATCAGTTTACATAAAGTTAAATGCCATGGGTAATCAGTTTACATAAAGTTAATTGCTGTGGGTAATCAGTTTACATAAAGTTAAACGCCATGGGTAATCAGTTTACATAAAGTTAAATGCCATGGGTAATCAGTTTACATAAAGTTAAATGCCATGGGTAATCAGTTTACATAAAGTTAAATGCCATGGGTAATCAGTTTACATAAAGTTAAATGCCATGGGTAATCAGTTTACATAAAGTTAAATGCCATGGGTAATCAGTTTACATAAAGTTAAATGCCATGGGTAATCAGTTTACATAAAGTTAAATGCCATGGGTAATCAGTTTACATAAAGTTAAATGCCATGGGTAATCAGTTTACATAAAGTTAAACGCCATGGGTAATCAGTTTACATAAAGTTAAATGCCATGGGTAATCAGTTTACATAAAGTTAAATGCCATGGGTAATCAGTTTACATAAAGTTAAATGCCATGGGTAATCAGTTTACATAAAGTTAAATGCCATGGGTAATCAGTTTACATAAAGTTAAATGCCATGGGTAATCAGTTTACATAAAGTTAAATGCCATGGGTAATCAGTTTACATAAAGTTAAATGCCATGGGTAATCAGTTTACATAAAGTTAAATGCCATGGGTAATCAGTTTACATAAAGTTAAATGCCATGGGTAATCAGTTTACATAAAGTTAAATGCTATGGGTAATCAGTTTACATAAAGTTAAACGCCATGGGTAATCAGTTTACATAAAGTTAAATGCCATGGGTAATCAGTTTACATAAAGTTAAACGCCATGGGTAATCAGTTTACATAAAGTTAAATGCCATGGGTAATCAGTTTACATAAAGTTAAACGCCATGGGTAATCAGTTTACATAAAGTTAAATGCCATGGGTAATCAGTTTACATAAAGTTAAACGCCATGGGTAATCAGTTTACATAAAGTTAAATGCCATGGGTAATCAGTTTACATAAAGTTAAACGCCATGGGTAATCAGTTTACATAAAGTTAAATGCTATGGGTAATCAGTTTACATAAAGTTAAACACCATGGGTAATCAGTTTACATAAAGTTAAATGCCATGGGTAATCAGTTTACATCAAGTTAAATGCCATGGGTAATCGGTTTACATAAAATTAAACACCATGGGGAGTCGGTTTACATAAAGTTGAATGCCATGGGTAATCAGTTTACATAAAGTTAAACTCCATGGGTAATCAGTTTACATAAAGTTAAATGCTATGGGTAATCAGTTTACATAAAGTTGAACACCATGGGTAATCAGTTTACATAAAGTTAAATGCCATGGGTAATCAGTTTACATAAAGTTAATTGATATGGGTAATCAGTTTACATAAAGTTAAACGCCATGGGTAATCAGTTTACATAAAGTTAAACGCCATGGGTAATCAGTTAAAATAAAGTTAAACGCTATGGGTAATCAGTTTACATAAAGTTTAACGCCATGGGTAATAAGTTTACATAAAGTTAAATGCCATGGGTAATCAGTTTACATAAAGTTAAACTCCATGGGTAATCAGTTTACATAAAGTTAAATGCTATGGGTAATCAGTTTACATAAAGTTAATCGCCATGGGTAATCAGTTTACATAAAGTTAAATGATATGGGTAATCAGTTTACATAAAGTTAGACGCCATGGGTAATCAGTTTACATAAAGTTAAACACCATGGGTAATCAGTTTACATAAAGTTAAATGCCATGGGTAATCAGTTTACATAAAGTTAAACGCCATGGGTAATCAGTTTACATAAAGTTAATCGCCATGGGTAATCGGTTTACATAAAGTAAATGCCATGGGTAATCAGTTTACATAAAGTCAAACACCATGGGTAATCGGTTTACATAAAGTTAAACACCATGGGGAGTCAGTTTACATAAAGTTAAATGCCATGGGTAATCAATTTACATAAAGTTTAACGCCATGGGTAATCAGTTTACATAAAGTTAAATGCCATGGGTAATCGGTTTACATAAAGTTAAACACCATGGGGAGTCAGTTTACATAAAGTAAAATGCCATGGGTAATCAATTTACATAAAGTTTAACGCCATGGGTAATCAGTCTACATAAAGTTAAATGCCATGGGTAATCAGTTAAAATAAAGTTAAACGCTATGGGTAATCAGTTTACATAAAGTTTAACGCCATGGGTAATCAGTTTACATAAAGTTAATCGCCATGGGTAATCGGTTTACATAAAGTAAATGCCATGGGTAATCAGTTTACATAAAGTTAAACGCCATGGGTAATCAGTTTACATAAAGTTAAACACCATGGGTAATCAGTTTACATAAAGTTAAATGCCATGGGGAGTCAGTTTACATAAAGTTAAATGTCATGGGGAAGAAGTTTACATAAGTTATAGGCCATAGGGAGTCAGATTACATAAAGTTAAACACCGTGGAGAGGTTTAAATGAGGTCTCTTAATTAACGCAGTTTGTCTTCCTCAACAAATGTTAAATAAAAAAATAGATATTTTTTCCAGAATACAGAATTTTTTATTGTTTTTTTTTATACTGTCGTTTTAATATAATTCTTACAACTGTGTTTTAATTTGTACAGCTCCATTAGGTCTAGCCTTTGGACAAGTTTTTTCTCAGCGTGTGGTCGTCATTTTTGGCGGAATCATGGGATGTTTTGGTGTGTCCTTGTGTTACTTCGTCGTCAGCATAGAATATGTCATCTGCATGTTTGGCATCTTTGCGGGTATGTATAATAACTGTGCCTGTTGTAATCATTATGTCCAGCAATATACACACGTTACAGCAAGTATTCTCAATGTCTTCAAGGCTTCCCCTCCTTTATACTTTACCTTGTATTAGACCAGTTTTGCATAGACAAACTGGGACTTGATGTGCCCACAAAACAAAACAAGTTTCTGAGAAAGTAGGTATTTCAACTAAAATTTAAGCTGAAAGGACTCGGTATGGTTTGGGCCTTTTTTGGCCCCCAAATCCATCAAAATTCAAAATCTGCAATAGAATTTTGAAACAAATGTTTCTTTAATTTTGAATACTTCCCCAGTACTATTATGTAAATATTTATTTGTGTTTTCAATTTTGGCTGCCATGGTAACCAGGTCATATTTGCATAAATGATTGAAATTTGATTATTCAGTCAATTTTGACAGGTTTCACCTAGTTTTTCTCTGAGCTACCATAGCGACTCTTGAACAAACTTTATATTTCTCCTAAAGATGTATTACAGGTGCCTACACATTATCGTTTGATATCAAGTTTGTTCAAGCATGCGCTCTATAGTTTCTAGGAGAAAAAAATTGCAAAATATCCCAATATTCACTGAATATTCATTTTTTTCTAATTTATGCAAATTTGAACTTGTTACCATGGCAACAATAATTAGAAATATAAATAAATATTTTTATAAAAGTATTTAGGAAGTATTCGAAATTAAAGAAACAGTCATTTCAAAGTTCATTTCAAGGTTTTTGAATTTTGATGCATTTGGGGGCCAAAACAGGCCCAAACCATACATAGTCCTTTGATTTAATACTTTGTGATTAATAACATATTCTTTGATAGCTTGTGGTTGTTCATTGTCATAAATATTTGTCTTTTTAGCTCACCTATTCGAAGAATAGGGGGGGCTAATGTAGTCACCTTGGCGTCCCACCTTCCAAGGTTAAAGTTTTGGTGCAAGTTTTTTCCAGACAGTGTTGGATCATCACACTCAATACACAGTTGTCTATTATGAGTTTAAGTCATTTATATCGAGTGTAAACAATGTGCTGGACCATATTTTCATATTTTATGGCCCAAAAACAACTTAATGGGACTTAGTTAAATTTGAAGTTAAAGTTTTTGGGCAAGTTTTTTTGTGAAGTGTCGGACAACCAACGTCAATACGCTTTTGTCTATTATAAGGTTGAAGCATTTATATGCAGTGTTAGCAATGTTTTGGGCAATATTTTCATATTTTATGGCCCAAAATACCTTAATTGGACTTAGTTAAATTTGAGGGATAAGTTTTTGGGCAAGTTTGTTTTTGAGGTGTTGGACAACCACCATCAATAGGCTGTTGTCTATTATAATGTTGAAGCATTTATATGGAGTGCTAGCCATGTTCTGGGCAATATTTTCATATTTTATGGCCCAAAACAGCTAAGTTGGACTTAGTTAAATTTGAGGTTAAAGTTTTTGGGCAAGTTTTGTTGGGTTGTGTTGGACCACCACCATCAATAGGCTGTTGTCTATTATAATGTTGAAGTATTTGTATTGAGTGTAAGCAATGTGTTGAACCATATTTTCATATTTTAGCGTCCAAAAACAGCTTAATTGGACTTAGTTAATTTCTTAACAATCACTTCATATAGATGTTTCTACACATTTAACAGTCCTCGAAATATCCTGGTGGTAAGTGAGGTGGCAAATAAAATGACAGGCACTATATCAACGTTTTACTGTACATGTGTTTCTATTGATAGTTGCAGTATTATAATAACATACATAGGCGAGCTATGCTGTTCTACAACAGCTCTTGTTTTTGTGGGAATTTGTTTATACCTACCGAGCCTGATATTGGTATAGGTTGATCAATGCTAAACAGATAATGTTTACGGGCTGTCCATTCAATAGTCACACAGAACAAAACACACACACATTAAAACATTTCTTAAAACTGTGTAATCAATGAAGGAAACTTCAACATTGTGTTTATTTTCATGAATTACAGATATAGAGGGTATTTCTTGGTTTCCTGTTGATTACAGATAAAGAGGGTATTTAGTGGTTTCCTGTTGATTACAGATATAGACGGTATTTCATGGTTTACTGTTGAGTACAGATATAGAGGGTATTTCATGGTTTACTGTTGAGTACAGATATAGAGGGTATTTCATGGTTTGCTGTTGATTACAGATATAGAGGGTATGTCATGGTTTCCTGTTGATTACAGATAAAGAGGGTATTTAGTGGTTTCCTGTTGATTACAGATATAGACGGTATTTCATGGTTTACTGTTGAGTACAGATATAGAGGGTATTTCATGGTTTGCTGTTGATTACAGATATAGAGGGGATTTCATGGTTTCCTGTTGATTACAGATATAGAGGGTATGTCATGGTTTCCTGTTGATTACAGATAAAGAGGGTATTTAGTGGTTTCCTGTTGATTACAGATAAAGAGGGTATTTCATAGTTTCCTGGTGATTACAGATAAAGGGGGTATTTAGTGGTTTCCTGGTGAATACAGATAAAGAGGGTATTTCATGGTTTCCTGGAGATTACAGATAAAGAGGGTATTTCTTGGTTTCCTGTTGATTACAGATATAGAGTGTATTTCTTGGTTTCCTGTTGACTACAGATAAAGAGCGTATTTCATGGTTTCCTGGTGATTACAGATAAAGGGGGTATTTAGTGGTTTCCTGGTGATTACAGATAAAGAGGGTATTTCATGGGTTCCTGGTGATTACAGATAAAGATGGTATTTAGTGGTTTCCTGGTGAATACAGATAAAGAGGGTATTTCATGGTTTCCTGTTGATTACAGATAAAGAGGGTATTTAGTGGTTTCCTGTTGATTACAGATAAAGAGGGTATTTAGTGGTTTCCTGGTGATTACAGATAAAGGGGGTATTTAGTGGTTTCCTGGTGATTACAGATAAAGATGGTATTTAGTGGTTTCCTGGTGAATACAGATAAAGAGGGTATTTCATAGTTTCCTGGTGATTACAGATAAAGGGGGTATTTAGTGGTTTCCTGGTGAATACAGATAAAGAGGGTATTTCATGGGTTCCTGGTGATTACAGATAAAGATGGTATTTAGTGGTTTCCTGGTGAATACAGATAAAGAGGGTATTTCATAGTTTCCTGGTGATTACAGATAAAGGGGGTATTTAGTGGTTTCCTGGTGATTACAGATAAAGGGGGTATTTAGTGGTTTCCTGGTGATTACAGATAAAGAGGGGATTTAGTGGTTTCCTGTTGATTACAGATATAGAGGGTATTTCATGGTTTACTGTTGATTACAGATATAGAAGGTATTTCTTGGTTTCCTGTTGACTACAGATAAAGAGGGTATTTCATGGTTTCCTGGTGATTACAGATAAAGAGGGTATTTAGTGGTTTCCTGGTGATTACAGATAAAGAGGGTATTTCATGGTTTCCTGGTGATTACAGATAAAGAGGGTATTTAGTGGTTTCCTGTTGATTACAGATATGGAGGGTATTTAGCGGTTTCCTGTTGAATATTATATATATTTCACAAGTATGGCAGAGCACTATCAGTATTTTCTACATGCAAGTAAAATACATGTACCGTAAAAACCCATGTAATTTGCGCATTTTTTTTCCAGAAATTTGATACCAAAAGTGGGGGGTGCGTAAAATACACAGGTATAGAAAATTTCAAGTTTTTTTCAGGAAAAAGATCGACGATTCTGGGAGATCGCCATCTTGGATTATTTCCCTTGGTACACGGAACTCTAATTAAGACAAATGACGGTCAACAAATTTATTTATGTCAAACATTAATAAAAGATATATAATATGTTGTTATGTGAGTTTATGTGAAAAATATTATTAAATAGGTAACCGTTAACAAAAAAAGGGAAGCCAAATTCCTATGCCAGAGAATCGCCGATCAACTTACGACATTACGTTTCGACATCTCGGTGCGTTTCCCCATACTATTACGAAAATGTAGTTGTTCAATTTAAGCTCCGTTCCATGTAAGTCATGTAAGGTTTTTTCAAATCGCCTATGCGTAAACGTATAGCATGTTTTTTTTCCTGCTCACTTTCATGTTGATCTCGCGTCTAACATTACGTAAACACGTGATTGATAATAACCTCGTGAATTATTTCAATAATTATTAAATGAAGGATCGTAAAAATAGTCTTCGTTAACTATTTTTTTCCTTGGAGTAGATTTGAAGAGGATGTATTGATTGTCCACGCTTCTAGTATAAACATATGTTTTTATAATCCCTTATCAGTCAAATCAGTCTGTTATGACAATGCAGTAGGGCTTCGTAATTCACGCCACGTGTTGGTGAGTGAAAAAACAACAACACGGTCCGTCGATCGCGACTGCAAATCATTTCAATTAGTAGAGCTATTGTTAACAGGTAATCACTGAGATAGTGTTAGCTAATTACTGCATTGTAATTTGTAAAAAATATCGCCAAACCACTAACTTAGATAATCTAATTCCGTGGCCAAACTGAACTGTGACATGACCTGGTTTGAAATGACGTAACCCAAGCCGCCATGATGAGCCCTTCTCACTGATCGTAATTATGATCAATAAAAGGTATCTTATTATGTCTTTCACCAGGAGATATGCACCAGCGGTTACTAAACATTGAATAACTTATTAATTGATATGTTTTTGTAAGCAAGTAAATGTTTTATGTAAAATATTGCTAAAATGATTTGATGTATGCTGATATGCGCACACGTGGGTGTCATGTGTGTGATCAGATAATTTAAAGAAAACAAGCAATAAAATACACATTTTACGTAGTTTCTTCTTGGTTTTAAATACTATTTTACATCAATGAAAAAAAAATTCATAGAAATATATTTAAATTTTTTTTATTCAGGGATCGATTTTCGGAGCATGAACATCGTTTTTTCCCCCAGATTTTTTGGGTGCGCAAAATATTCGAGTAGAAGCTTTTTTCCCGATTTTCAGCCTCAAAAAGTACCTGCTTAAATTACACAGGTGCGCAAATTACATGGGTTTTTACGGTATATACTGTATTCAATGAGAAAGCCATTTGATTATTAGGTCACCTGAGCTTTTGCTTAAGTGACCTATTCTGATCGCTTTCCGTCCGTCGTGCGTAAACTTTTTACATTTTTAACTTCTCAAGAACCAGTGAATGAAATTTTTTCAAACGTGGTCAGAATCATCCTTAGTAGATGAGGCTACAAAGTTGTAAAATTGGGATTCCTACCCAAAGCCCTGGGGCCAGGGCGGGGACCCAAAGGCAAAATTAATCAATATTTCCAAAATCTTCTTCTCCAGACTCCGAGGTACTACTGTCATTTTCCCTGCATGAATGGAAAGATCATCAGGGGCTTTATTTAAATTGTAAATTTCCGGACCCCGGGCCATCTCTCCTCGCTTGGGGAAGGGTAAAGTTTACTATAGTTTATATAGGGAAAATAACACTTTTGGGTATATTTTGACAATTTTCTGTATGAAATTATTCTTACTTAGTGAGAATCATTCTTGGAGGAAGTTGGTTTTCAAATTGTAAAATTGGGATTCTACCCCAATCCTGGGGGCTAGGGTGGGGCCCCAAAGGGAAAATTAACCAATATTTCAAAAATCTTCTCCAGACTCAGAGGTACTACAGTCAATTTCAGTGCATGGATAGAAAGATCATCAGGAGCTTTATTTAAATTGACAATTTCAGGACCCCCAAGCCATCCTTTCCTTCTTAGGGAGGGAGTAAAGTTTACTATAGTTGATATAATAGGGAAATAACAATTTTGGGTATATTTTATCCTTTTTCAGTGGAAAATTACTCAAACTTGGTCAGAATCATCTTTGGTGGATGAGGGTAATATAATGTAAAATTTGGACTCCTGCCCCTCCCGAGATGATAGAACATGATATTTTCGAGATGATAGAACTTGATATTTTCAAGATGATAGAACTTGATATTTTCAAGTTGATAGAACTTGATATCTCACTGACCAAAAATATAGTCAATAATTTTTCAATCCTCTTCTAACTGCTGTGTACTGTCACGAGCAAAAAGTACCAGGCTCAATAAATGTGCAGAACAATATTTAAACATAATATTTTATACAACTAGCACACTAACGGTTTAATGGCACATTCATTCACATTTCTTTTATTTGTTTGACAAAATTGTTTTTCATTTTTCAGGTCTCTCCAATGCCTGTTTGTTTGGAAACGGTTTGGTTATGTTGGGCTACTACTTTGAAAAACGACGGTCTATAGCCAACGCCTTGGCTCTGATTGGTGCAAGTGTGGGCCAGTTTGGAATTCCTCCAATTCTTCAGCACCTCCTTGATACCTACACGATCCGAGGAACTTTTCTGTTTCTTGGGGGTTTCTACCTGAATTTATGTATCTGTGGAGCCCTGTATCGCCCTATATCACTCTACGCCAACAGGAATAGTGCAGATGTTGAGGCAAAAGATTCTCTCAATCAGAACAATATAACAGAGTTGGAAGTTAGCTATGTAGATACTACAGGAAACCATCACAGCGAGACAGAGACTCTAGCCCCAGGGAACTGCCACAAGGTCGAAGTGTCAGAGATAGCTTTGTTAAAGTCTGAGATGAGATATGGACATCTCTCAAGTACTGGCAGTTTGGTGATGGGTTCAATGGAAAGTCTCGGTCAAATTGTCATTGCAGAAAGTAAACAGCTAGACAAAGTAAAACAAAGGTCCTCAAATAGCACATTCAGCTGTGGCCTGACTTGTCCGAAGCTGATCTACTGGTCCGAGTTTAAGAAACCCATAGTCGTAATCTACACCCTGGTCAGTTTCTTTTTATTCTTTGGCTACTTCAACTTCATCATCTTCTTGCCCCTTGATGCAGCCTCTAAGGAGATAGATAAACACAGCAAGACTTGGCTTGTATCCATATCCGGCATTGGCGACTTGCTGGGTCGTATATTCATCGGTGTTCTAGGTGACCTGAATGTTTGTAAGAGGTACAAGATCATGTCAGTCATGTGCATTATCTGTGGAACAAACATCATCCTGTACGGAATCGCGGACACATACTGGTGGATGGCCCTCCATGTGGCTGTGTACGGGTTCTCGGGCGGGGCCTATGTTGCCATCAACGCTGTCGTACTGATTGACCTTGTAGGCCTGGAGGTCATGCCTCGAGCTCTTGGCCTGATCCTACTTATTCAGGGATTCGGTGCTGCTGTTGGACAGCCGTTTGAAGGTAAGAAGAATAACTTTGGTCATACTTGATATCCAGGGGTTACGCTCACTTTCCCTCTCTCCAACCCTGGAATACTGTAAAAGCATCATATTTCGTTGGGGATTTAATTTCGTTTATTTCATGGTTTTATAAATAACCACAAAATATAATCCCAACAAAATTTTAAGCACAAAATATAAACTAAAATAAAGTACGAAATACTTTATTGATTTAATTACAAATCCATGCTGTATTTACATTTAGACATAAGTCATGATAAAGGGTGTAATTATCGTCACAGGCACAGAGGTAAACACTTATAACAATAGCGTGTCAATCAAGCGTTATATTTGTAACACAGGAAAGACCCTACATCGCTCTGTACATATTGCATGTTGACTCTAGAGCATGACGGATTTGACCGATACCCACCTAGTGAGTTTATCTCGCCCGGTCTTTTAATTACCTGTACCTCGCAAGTCGTGCGGTGAAATCAACTTGTGTAGACACAATAACAAAAAACCACTAAATATTCCCGTAGCTTTTATTAACAATAATCAAATTTTCTATTTAACGAAAAGGTTGTAAAGTGTACATCTGATAAGTAGGCTCTTTGCCAATGTAATCAGTTTTACCCATTGTAGTAAGAACCAGATTCCTCATGTTCACCTGGGAATTTTTATCTTACAAATCAATCAAATAACAACAAAAAAGGAACATTAATAAGCAGGTTTCCATGATAGATAATATACAGTAGAGCTTTGCTCAAGTGACCTATTCTAATCGCTTTCCGTCCGTCGTCGTCTGTCGTGCGTACACTTTTTACATTTTCAACTTCTTCTCAAGAACCGGTAGATGGATATTTTTGCAAATTTGGTCAGAATCATCCTTTTTAGATGAGGCTACAAAATTGTAAAATTGGGATTCCTACCTCAACCCCTGGGGCCAGGGCGGGGAACCAAAGGGAAAATTAACCAATATTTCAAAAATCTTCTTCTCCAGACTCAGAGGTACTACATTCAATTTCAGTGCATAAAACGTGTTTTCAATGCGTATTCCGATTCTATCTGAAGTTGAATAATAATTCTTTATAGAGAAAAGGTTGTTTCATGATCATACATTCTAAGTCATGACAACATCATATGAAAACATGAACTGTTGAAAAATTACGATTTAAAAAAAATGTTATGCGATCCTATTTACTATAACTAAGTAGGTTCTCAAAATGTCTCGTCTCCAATTAGCGTAGTGAAGCCGCGTGTCCGGTTGGCCTTCGAACTTGACAGATGTTACACAATAAACACGACACAGAATGAGATATCCTTTTAACCCTAGAATTTAATATTTCGTCCAAATGTGACTGATTTTGGCTAGTCCATATTCTAACAGAGGGTAAAAAGCGTTTGCAACACTACAGGTACCAGCGGCGGCGACCCTTGACCCACAGCAGGTAGCTAGCTGCCTGCTAACCGAGTATCTCAAGTTGATCAACCTCTTTGGTAACCACACTGGTTACAGATGGCACCACTCAACCTTTAGAACATCCCTGTTCTCCTACACTAGAACATCCCTGTTCTAGGCGGTGGTGCCATCCCCTTATTTCGTAGAACATCCCTGTTCTAGTCGGTTGATCGTGGAAGGTCTGTTTCATAATTTTATAAGTCTTTTTACTAACATGGACAGACCTACTCTACTCTACAAGTCAATACAGAAGCAGCTGAGAAATAATTCCCAAGGGCCAAAATTATTTTGTAACATTTGTGTTATTATGTCATGATTATTTTGTTACACCTGTTGAATGTACAATAGTTAGTTGGTATTCTTGATCTATGTTTTTAATATTCGTTTTAAGAATCATGTTGGTTCTTATATACCTTACTTCATAGAGGATACATTTCATGTTTTAAGTTCTTATCTGATCCCTATAATAAATGTTCATAACTTCATATCTGAGTTGTATTATCCCCTCTGGAGTAACTTGGTCTAAAGCTGCATTTTTAGCTACAAACTTGTACACAAGATATAAAATTCATCTTTAATGTATAAACAGGAAACTGTATTTGAAAATTATACAACAATCTGGAACAATTTTTAATTCTAACAGTTAGAAGAGTCCAAGCGCCGGTTATTGTTTTGGCTAGTAAAAAACGACGTTAGTCTAACGTCTCAAATATTCGACAAGCCTACCAGATCATTTGATGAGGTGAACTGTGACCTTGCTACTGACAATTACGCAAGAAGTTGAAGAACAAATCTTGCTGCAATCTCATGTTGTAGTTTATTATTGTTATTTTCATCATGCAGGCGCGTAGCTTTCTAGCTATATGCAAATGAGTACACATAATTTTGATGAGTAAAAACATATTTAATATACGTGTATTTCAAACCTTTATTGCGTAAGTAAAGTAAAATTTTAAAAAATCACACTAAATACGTTTTCTAACTTTTTTTCCAAAACTAAAATCTGAGACATAAATTACGTCTGCTTAAATCTAATCGCCAAATTTCCACAAAACACAGGAATTTGATCCAGAGACCTTGAATTCAAAAACTTTCCTTTGGGAGGCCAACCCCCAACTGGGCCTCGCACCCCCCACTACTTGCGCTACACTTATCATAAAAGCAAGTAAACAATTAAATTTAAACCATAGTTTCTCTCACCTGTGTTTAACGCCTGCCAATCAAACTATTTTGATACAATGGAAAGTACCTTACCTGGACGGCAATACAGTTGTACGATGTCTATATAAAGATCTAATTGTCCGTAACATAATTTTGAAAAAGGGTTCATGAAATATTCCAAAGATTGTTTTTCACTACTTTCTAGTCACTCACTTCTCTGGAAATGGTACACATAATGTTGAATTCTCGTTATTTTTAGAGGAATGGAAAATTTCACATACATCTGATTAACAGAAAGTAAAAATAGAATGTAGAAAAACTTGGAACTCTTCTTCGTTTGAGAAATAACACAGTGTGCTTAGACTCTCTGCCTTAAATTCATTTTTGTTTTTACTCCATTCTCTTATTGTTGATAGTTAGCAACTTAGATTCGGGAAATCTTAGTGAAGCGACGAATTTCAATTTTGTGATATAAGTTCGATCTTGTTTACCCGTACCTTTTTTGTTTCCTAAAAAATACGTTAGAAATTATCTTATTTATTATAATACATATCTATTGTAATAGTTGAAATGAAATAAATGTACATTTATACACATATGGAAATCGGATGCTGGTTATCACTTTTGTTGAGCACGTGTGAAGTTTTCGAAAGTAGTTTCCTAATTATATTCCATTTGTATTTGTAATTGTATATGCATATTTATTATTCTTAAACGGAAGAAATGAAGTTTATAGCATTTGGTTTGGAACGCTGGCATTGAAAGAAACGTGAGATCAACAGATACGGCGGCGGCATTTTATATTATTATAAACGTTTTTGTGTGAAATGACATTCGTTGGAATTTTATTAAGTATTGATAATACATAGTTTTAACACATATCAGGATCATTTTGACACTATACCAACGTATGAAAATGGATCACAACGTTAGTTTGAATTTTTATAAAAACATCGACAGATTCTGTGGATCAAATCTAAGGACCGGCATGGACTTAATGCGATTGATTTTTTTCTTCGTAAAGTATTATACATAGAAACAACATATATTTGTTAAAAGTACAAAAATATGACAAAAACTGAAATATTCTTGTAGGAATATGAGCTGGTCTTTCGATGATACTGTGCATGTACATGACCATCCGTGAAGGAATACAGTATATTAGACGAATTTAAATTGAAACCTAACAGTGTCAAAGGGATCATAATTAAAGAAATGCAATACAGTTAACTTTCAAAACGTAGTTGGTTTAAAACTTCTAAATTATATTCATATTTAATTCTGATTTTGTTTTATATATATAATTTTGTATTGCAATAGTTACACATGAAATAATACGAATGCTTGTTGTCTCCGATTGATACACACGGAATAAAATAAGATTAGGTAACTTGAAATTAGCAAATTCTATGTTACAGGTAGGAGAAACCATATTTAACATTTATTTAAAGTGTAGACTTGTAAGGACCAATATTTTCATTCTGTTCATCATTTAATACAACTGTCTTTTTTATTTTTCATTTTTATGAACACAAAACCCCCCCGAAAATTTGGGGAATTTAGTGGGCGGCACCTCGACGATACACACCATCTAATCAGTCGCATGATGCGGTGTATTGTGTAAGCTCTGCCCATTGTGACAGGAGGGCTACTGTGCTGAGGTGTGATTGACATTTCAGACCAACCAATAATTTTGGGTGATTTCACAGTGCAGGGACAGTCGGCTTGTCCGCCTCGGCAGATTTTTCAATAAACTTATGTTGATCAGTAAACTGTGATAACATTTTATACAATGTATACTAAACAGAGACACTTATAATGATGATGTGTTAATTAACGTACCGCTCCTTTTCAATTATAATCTAGATTGTTTAAAGGGGAAATCGTGTAATCTAGTCAAAATAACCAACACTTGCACATCGTAAATGTTGCCCCAATTTACGTCAATTGGACAAAGACGAAATTTTTATCACGTTACAAGGCAATGCTACTTTATATTAGCATAAATGGGTAATTTTAAATAGATCTTGTGGAACTCGTTTCTTTTTAAATATCCACTACAAGACGGGTTTTCCACCCTAGTATGTGCTGGCGTTATTTCTTTTCCGTTCGTGAAATTCAAGTAGCGCTTTCTGTTCGGTGTGCCGATTGTAACTGTGCATCTGTGGTACTGTAGACAGGAACAGTGGCCTCAGCAGACACATACATGGCAGTAATAATATACTGTATTTTCTCTGTCTAGACTTAATCCCCATCACCCGTTAATGCAGGATAGTCGCGGAGGGCTTATCAATGTAAAGCCGACGGATCTACCTTGATATAGCCGGCGTTTCTTCTGCGATCATCCCGCGGCTATGAGCGACAGGGATTAAAATTTGTCGCTCGGCGGGCGACTGAGTACCAAATCACCTGAGGCGTACTGTAAATCTAATAGCACACGTATCTCATTTGACCCCAATTAAGCACCAACAGTTATCCCTTGGAGGGCCTCATGGCAAAATCAAACTAACCAGTCACTTATCCCTTCCTTTCACATAAACCACTGTATAATTATAGAAACAAAAGTAAACTCTCTCCGATACATGCCCATTAACATATTACACTAAGTTCATCTGTGTTCAAACTCGGACAAAGATACTAGCGAGGTTAATAGTTTTAGACATTTATTCATAACATAAACAGCGCTAGCATTTCTGTTGATTCCAATTCAGCTTAACCGGCTATCTGGAAGAATACATGCACCGTACTAACTGCTAGGGAAGTTATTTTCTCCTTTGAATACTTCCCACCTGTAATAATGATTCTGTAACGTACTCCTTGCACTATCTTTTGACCATTTGGCAACTTTTCGCTTCATAGCTGACACAGTACAACAATTTTCTTCACCGCTGACTTCACACAGGCAGTTATTTTGTTTACAAAGAAATGGTGTGCTGTGCGCATGCGCTAGTATAGAGGGCAGGTGAGCTAAAAATCCTTCTTCTACCATAGGGACTAAGGGATTTTATCCTAATTTAGTCTTGAGCATTCTTGGGCTAAGGGGACTCAATTTTGTATAAGCAGTGGGTGTGGTCTCCCAGGGGGCAGAAGGGCAGGGCCCAATAGGAGAAATAGAGGTAAAACCTTTAAAATCCTTCTTCGACCATCGGGATTAAGGGATTTTATCCATATTTGGTCTGGAGCATTCTTGGACCAAGGGGACTCAATTTTGTATAATTGGTGGGTATGACTCCCCTAGGGGTGTAGGGGTGGGGCTCTGTTTGAAGTTTGTTTTTGCTATATCTCAAGTATTGGATGGATCTTTCTGAAATTTTATATGTGCTTACAGCACCTACCATGGAGTGCTATACCTTTACTTCATACCAATTATTTAAAACATATTCAGGTGAGCGATACAGGCCCTCTGGTTATGAATCTATTTCAGCCAAATCCGATCGTTATTTTCCATAAGGAGTCTCACTTGATATGTTTATGTAGTATTGAAAACAAGAGATCCCAGAGGGTGATTGGCGCCAACCATTGTACCATCTTCATTAGTTCTTTGTCAGTTCGATCTTTTCTCTTCTTTCCTCTAATCTGTTTGATTGAGTCATGTTAACAGTAAATGCACCTTGAGGTAACTTTTGATCTAAACTTAATACTGATGTGTATGAAAGCCAACCTTCAAAGTGAGTTTGTCATTTCACATATTTACTAGTACAGTACTTAATGTAAAAGAAATAGAATTGATCATTGCAATATGAGGAAGATCTGTTCAGTTCTTCTTTTAATCCATTTCGTTTTTATGATCAGTCTCAAAATATAACATGCACAACGAGGGATCAAGGGGAACCTACATATAAAATTTGAGAAAGTTCCCTCCTGTACTTCCCGAGAAATAGTTATAACAAACTTTCAATATCAAAATCCAAGATGGCTGCCTGTCGGCCATGTTGTTTATCCGATCTGTCTCTAAAATTGCCCTGCACAGCTAGGATCAAGGGGAACCTACATATAAAATTTGAGAAAGATCCCTCTGGAGCTTCTTGAGAAATAGTTATAACAAACTTTCAATATCAAAATCCAAGATGGCTGCCTGTCGGCCATGTTGTTTATCCGATCAGTCTCAAAAGCTGCCCTGCACAGCAAAGGACCAAGGGGAACCTACATACAAAATTTGAGAAAGATCCCTCTGGTACTTCTTGAGAAATATTGATAATAAAAATTGTTTAAGGATGGACGACGGACGGACCACGGACAGACCACGGACCACAGAAGCAGGATGATGGTGGGCTAAAAAGACACAAAAAAAAAGTTGCTTCACCGTGATGCCCCTTTAAATCAGTATGAATAAATTTGACCTTGACCCATTATGAAGGTCACAGATGTAAAATGTATTTGCAAACAACTTTAAATAACAGTCCAGTAGTGCAGGCCTTTTGGGGCCCTTTCATTCCTCTTCTTCTTTCCAATGCTATTTTGTCCAGCCATTTTCACTGAAACTAATACCTATAGTCAATTTCCAATAAAACTTGGTCAGGTGGTCAATTCAAATGGTCACATATACATGTATACGTAGATGGTACTAAACCTTCTTCTTTGCAGCTAAGTTGACTGCCAGGTCATCTGATTGTTGGAGACATATCCAGTTATGAATTTTGTTCCAAGATTAAAAAATTATGATGTAAATTAGTTACACAAAGAATTAAAAGAAAGAATTGGACCGGAGCAAAAATCCAAATGTTGGAAAGTATGTCTTAAGTAAAGGAATGAAAGTGAAAAATTGTGAATCTCCCTCCAAAATAGAGAGATCGTAAGTTTGTCACTGACTGGTAACCTGAACTGTTTTTATGATGTTTTACAGGTTATATAAGGGACATCACTCTGTCGTTCCAAACACTTACTTACCTGAATGGATTCTGCATGATCTTCGGAGCTGTGATCCTCTTCTTACATCCCATGATTGTCGGACTGTTTGAGCCGAAGTATGAACAGCCACTAGACGCCGCCACCATCATCAACACATCAACCATGGATTCCTTCAACAAGACAGAAAATGGAGAAAAAGTGGAAACATTAGCTTGACACCTGCCCAGAATTCGGGATCTGTGGTATCCTTGTGTAATATTTAATCCTGAGATTATAATTAAGTGTCTTTTTATAAAACCCGGTCTGGACTGGACAATATTTATCCTGCAGTAAGCTCAGGGGGGCAGATACGTGTGTGACTAAGTAGGATTTATTGGAATTCCTACTTAAATGCAATATATTTGGATGGGCTTATTACCAGGCATGGGCTTATTACCAGGCATGGGTTTATTGACGCATAAATATTGATATATTGGTATGACATTGTCTGTCTGTACCTCCGTCCTGCTTCTTGTTTACAGTATAATCAATCCCACAAACCTATGTCACCGAAAGTGATATTGGGCATGGAAACTCCTCATAACAATACCCACCTTGAAGTTTAATTTTTACCAAGCTTATTTCCTATTCTCTTGTTCTGCAGGAACATCATTTTACAACTAAAGAAAACAGTACAATAACTGAAATTTTGAACTTAAGTTATTCAACACAGCCCGAAGTATTTTCAAATGCTTAAACCAAATGTTTTAGCAGTTGGTGAAATTGTCAGAAATCAATGAATAAACATGACCAGGATTTGCCCTTGTTTTTCGTATTAACATTGATACAATGTTCTTAGATACTACAATGTTTTACCGGTATTACAATCAATAGGTTGCTATCTCTTTCAGTGATGCAGGGTGGTGGGATTGATAATAAGATAAAGTGAAGTGATGAAGTTATTTAGTGAAGGGTAATTGTAACATGTATCAGCTCATCACCTGGCACAAAGTGCCTAGGAGCTTATAGAATGGTGTGATGGCCGCCGCCCATCATTCAACTTTAAAAAAAAAATATACTTGTTTAGAATCATTAGGCATAGAATCATGGTATTTGGCAAAGTACTTGGCCCTTCAGGCTAGGCTAGCTAAAAATCTTTGAAAATAGGGTTCTGTCAGTTGTAGAGAAAGGATATTTAACATGCTTTGTTAGCTTGCTTGCTTTCAAATTTAATTTATTAGATAAATTCAACCTCAAACCACTTTGAATGTCACAAGTGAAATATGTTTACAGACAGCATTGAAAAACAGGTGAACGATGCAGGCCCCTTGGGTCTCTTGTTTAAAGGGCATTGAGTAAGGTGAGGATAACAAATTTAGTTCAATATTCAAGTCAATGAATTAACATTTTAATTTTAAAGTATGTGTATTGATCACATCATATTTATTCTACTGAGCTATTTTATAATCAACTCACTTAGTTTAAACATTTTTTCCTGTTTTCTTGTTGTTACTTCATCATGAACACTCTTTTATTTGTTGTTGTTATTATATCTGATTCTTTATCAACCTTTTTCTGTTAAAGCGTACCTGCTGTTTTTCAGGTTTTTTTTCCTTATTAAGGCCACACAAAAAAAATAATATGTGTTTCTTGTAACATGTTGGAAAAATTTAGGTTAGATAGGAAGGTAACAAATTTGATTTTAAGTAGTAGTTTTATATAGGAATGTGATCTTGACTTTAACGGTGCTTCTTTGAAAATTGCCTTAAATTGTTCGGATAGGCACAAACAATTCGGTCAGTAGGGTTACCTTGAAACACTAAATAGGTTTTGTTTGGCCTAATGTGAGATAAAACTGTTATGTTTATTCAGTGTTACAAGCTTAACTGGTCTAGCATACTTGCCCATTTTTCTGTCACAAAGAATGTGTTCTATTTGCGATGCCTTTCATCTGTCATCGTCCATCATGTGTCTAGTGTCAGTTAACTATTTACGTTTACAACTTCTTCTTTTAAAAAATCATTGAACAAATTTCAATTTTTCAGGAATCTTTCATGACCAGCAATTAGCAATATTAATTTTATTGTGAACTATCTAAATCACACCCCTCAGGAACCAGAGGGCTGGGACCAAAAGAGTCCCACAGTTAACTAATTTACCCATATATATTTAAACTGAACTTGCCCGGTCTTTGATTTAGTAAGGTTCAAGTGTGACTTTATGTGTAAATGGGTTAAATGGCTATTAGTTTTTAGGTCACCTGAGCTTTGCTCGTGACCTATTCTAATCGCTTTTCGTCTGTCGTCGTCCGTCGTGCGTCGTGCGTAAACTTTTACATTTTCAACTTCTTCTCAAGAACCAGTGGATGGATTTTTTTCAAACTTGGTCAGAATCAGGCTTCAAAATTGTAAAATTGGGATTCCTACCCCAACCCCTGGGGCCAGGGCAGGGCCCCAAAGGGAAAATTAATCAATATTTCAAAAATCTTCTTCTTCAGACTCAGAGGTACTACACTCATTTTCTCTACGTGGAAAGAAAGATCATCAGGGGCTTTACTTAAATTGTAAATTTCAGGACCCCCGAGCTATCCGTTCTCCCTTGGGGAGGGGGTAAAGTTTACTATAGTTTATATAGGGAAATAACACTTTTGGGTATATTTTGACAACTTTCTGTAGGAAATTATTTTTACTTGGTGAGAATTATCCTTGGAGGTAGATGGTTTCAAATTGTAAAATTGAGATTCCTACCCCGACCCCTGGGGCCAGGGCGGGGCCCCAAAGGGAAAATTAATCAATATTTCAAAAATCTTCTTCTCCAGACTCAGAGGTACTACAGTGATTTTCTTTACGTGGAAAGAAAGATCATCAGGGGCTTTATTTAAATTGAAAATATCAGGACCCCGAGCTATCCGTTCTCCCTTAGGGAGGGGTTAACGTTTAATATAGTTTATATAGGGAAATAACACTTTTCGGTATATATTTTATCCATTTTCAGCAGAAAATTGCTCAAACTTAGTCAGAATCATCTTGGGTAAATGAGAGTTTTACTTTGTAAAATTAGGATTCCTGCCCCATCCCCAGGGGCTAGGGCGGGGCCCCAAAGGGAACATTTACCAATATTTTCAAATTCTTATCCATTGATGACATGACAAGTATTGTATTTCACTTAGTTTACATGCTGATTTCCACATCACATCTAAACAATAAAATAAAGCTACCAGTACCTATGATATAACTCAGGTGACCGCTAAGGCCCTTGGGCCTCTTGTTTGCTTTGTCATGTAACAATAACAAATGGAAAATTATATCACAACTCAGACAGATGACTTTTCAGGCAACTGGGGCCATTTTGTTGACTCTTGCCTCGCTATATTTTTAGCCCACAATCATCTGATGTAGGCTCTCCAGGTCTGTAGTTGTGCATGTTCAATTTTGAGACTGATCCAATAAACAAAATGGCCGACAGGCAGCCGTCTTGGATTTTGACATTGAAGGTTTGTTTTGCTATTTCTCAGGAAATACTGGAGTGATCTTTCTCAAATTAATTATGCATGTTTTCCTTGGTTCCTTGTTGTGCAGGATAACTTTTGAGACTGATCAAATCAACAAAATGGCCGACAGGCAGCCATCTTGGATTTTGATAGTGAATGTTTGTTATCGCTGTTTCTCAATAAGTAGTGGAGAGATCTTTCTCAAATGTTATATGTAGGTTCCCCCTGATCCCTTGTTGTGCATGTTATATGTTGAGACTGATCATAAAAAAGAACTTAACAGATCTTTCTCATATTGCAATGATCAATTCTATTTCTTTCACATTATGTACTGTACAAGTAAATATGTGAAATGACAAACTCACTTTGAAGGTTGTCTTTTGTACACAGCAGTAATAAGTTTAGATCAAAAGTTACCTCAAGGTGCATTTACTGATAACATAACCAAGTTTGTTCAAATAAATGACCTTCACCCATTTTCAAGGTCACGGGGGTCAATTGTCTTAAAAAATCTTTAAACAACTTCTGAATAACTTAGAGGCCTAGGACAATGATATTTAGGCAGTAACATGCTAGGATAATGGGCTACTAAGTTTTGTTAAAATGAATGACCTTTACCTATATTCAAGGTCACAGGGGTCAAATATGTTTAAAACCTTTAAACAACTTCTTCTCAATAACCAAGAGGCCTAGGATGATGCTATTTGACCAGTAGCATGCTGTAATAGAGGGCTACAGAGTTTGTTCAAATAAATGACCTTGACCCATTTTCAAGGCCACATTGGTCAAATATGTTTAAAACCTTTACACAACTTCTCCTGAATACCCAAGAGGCCTAGAACAATGATATTTGACCAGTATCATGCTCAGATGAAGGGCTACCAGGTTTGTTCAAACAAACAATCTTCACCTATTTTCAAGGTCACAGGGGTCAAATATGTTTAAAACCTTTAAATAACTTCTCCTGAATATCCAAGAGGCATAGGCTAATGACATTTGGCCAGTAACATGCTGGAATGAAGGGCTACGAAGTTAATTCAAATGAATTACCTTCATCTATTTTCAAGGTCACAGGGGTCAAATATGTTTAAAAACTTTAAACAACTTCTTTTAAATAACCAAAAAGCCTTGGATGATGATATTTGGCCATTAACATGTTGGGATGAAGGGCTCCCAAGTTTGTTCAAATGAATGACCTTTGCTCATATTCAAGGTCACAGGGATCAAATATGTGTAAATCTTTAAATGACTTGTTCTGAATATTCAAAAGGTCCAGGGTAATGATAGTTAGCCAGAAATATGCCGGAACGGAAGGCTATAAACTTTCAAGGTCACAGGCGCATATGTTTAAATCATTTAATAGATTCAAATGGATCGAACACAGATATTTTGCCTGTAGCTGTATATTAGTCCACTTTTAAGATTACAAGTGTGAGATTAATACCAGGTGAGCGAGTCGGGCCCATTGGGCCTCTTGTTTAAATATTGAGATTTTTTTCTGGAAAAATGTCAAGCTGGACAGACTGATAGCACCAACCAGGTAGGTTACTAATGAAGGTTAGCTAAATAAAAACATTCACCCAAGTAATTTATTATGTGGGTAAACATATCACACAAATATAATCTTTTGATATTTACTAACTTAAAATTTATTATGAATAGGCAAACAATGCTTTCTCCAACAGCTCTTGTGTTGTCTTCTTCAGGTTTTAGCATAATTATTTTACTGAAAATGAATATTTTTAAACTGCCTCAGGAAAAACACGTTTGACCACGCTCTGCTGGCATTACAAATCTGAAAGGTTTTCAAGCAGCAGACTTAATACTACAGTTGTTGTTAAATATGACAGTTAAAGACAGCAAAGGTTAAAGGTTAGGATCAGCTAACTTGTTTTATGAGGAAGTGTGAGACCAAAGGCTAAAGTTTAAAGGTCAAGGTCACCAAATTTGATGTTGCATATGGACGTATAACACTAAAACTTGGAGGCTTATTTTAAGGGCCAACTGCAATTTTTGCTCTACATCAGAAAGTGTAGCTAAAAATATGAAAGTTTAATGCTAAAGGTCAAGGTTACTTGAGTAAGAGGATTAATTTCTTGCTGCTTATATAAATGATAATACATGTATGACCAACATTTCTATCATGTTCACACGTCCATTAATGTTTTAAGAAAACAGATATTTTTGAAATAGTAAAGAGGTTTAGGGTGATTGATGGCCCTTTACTTCATATAGCATACTGTGTTGGTGGCTTAAAAGTTTGTTCAAATAAATGACCCGACCCACATTCAAGGTCATATGGGTCAAATGTGTTAGAATCTGTAAATGACCTTACTCAATAAATAGAAAGCAGTCCTAGGGTGATGATATATAGCCAGTAGGAAAGGTTACCAATTCAATTTTGTTGAGGTGATTAACTTGATCCACTTTAAGTCTTCCAAGGTAATGGGGTTCTGATATAGAGATTTTTTTCAACAAATTCTTCTGGAAAGCTAAAGGCCTAGGACGATTATATTTGGCTATAGCTTGTACATGTAGTATACTTGGAATAAGGGCTTTTAATTGATGTTTGTTTAAATGAATGACCTTGGCCCACTTTACAGGTCACAGGGGTCAAATGTATAAAATATATTTTAACAAATTCTCCTGAAATGTAAAACCATGATATTTGGCAAGATAATTAATGACCTTGACCCACTTTCAGTTTCACAGGTGTCAAATGTGAAAAAATATTTTTAAGGTCTAATTTCTAAGTAATAAAGAGATGTAAGGTTTATCACTATGGTATTGAATTTGTTTATATAACTTAAAAATACAAATATTCTGATTTGTACCATAACCTAAATCTTTACATGGGTTGATTAAGTTATTATCAACACAAAAATGCTCAACATAATTATCATATAACAAACATAGCCATGCTACACCGTAACCATCTCTAACAAACATAGCCATGCTACACCGTAACCATCTCTTTGTTTGTATACTTCAGTATGGGTCTGCAAATTAGGGCATTGTTGTTAAAAACTAGTGTGTGAGTGTTTGTATGTTGATATCTCCTAGGAACAAAGTTTGAGGGGTTATAGAGTTGTGTCCCTTTGTCCATTCATATTTACATTATAGATATCTGGGAACCATTTTATCAGTGTTTTTGTAATTCAGTCAATCAAGATATTTTAATGATACAAGGGTAAGGTTGAGTTCCTATGTTAAGGTGCTTTGTTCAAGGCCAGTATTATGGTCAGTGTTACTGTTTTTACAATAAATTTGTCATTGTCATTCCTATACTTGCAAACTCTGCCTGATTTTGGACTCTAAAATTGAGCATTTTTAGAAATTGAATTTGCTAAACTATTCCTCTGTTCTGATGATTTCATATGAAAGAACCAGCCCAAAAGATGCCATTTAAAGATGACATTTGTCCCATATGGTGTAAATACACCCCTTTTGTTTCTGTTTTAATTCGGAGCACTGGTAATCTCCCCTGTGGAAATATATGGTGTAAATAAACCCCTTTTGTTTCTGTTTTAATTCTGAGCACGGGTAATCTCCCCTGTGGAAATAAATGGTTTAAATACACCCCTTTTGTTTCTGTTTTAATTCTGAGCACGGGTAATCTCCCCTGTGGAAATAAATGGTTTAAATACACCCCTTTTGTTTCTGTTTTAATTCTGAGCACGGGTAATCTCCCCTGTGGAAATAAATGGTTTAAATACACCCCTTTTGTTTCTGTTTTAATTCTGAGCACGGGTAATCTCCCCTGTGGAAATAAATGGTTTAAATACACCCCTTTTGTTTCTGTTTTAATTCTGAGCAG